AGCAACTGGCCGAGCAAGTGGCTCAAGGGCAGTGCGGTCACGAAAGAAACAGCGAGAAGCACCTGAGTCCAGGGTGAAGGTGTGCAGTGCCTCAGTCGACTCAGTACCAGCGGGGACAGACTCACTGGCACCTAGGGCGGCAGCCTCACCATCACCTGAGGTGGCAGACACGCGAGCACCTGCAGTGGCGGTCTCACTAGCACCTAGAGCGGCAGCCTCACTCACACTACACGGCAGCTGCACCGGTCCGCGACCAGAAGCTCCCGAACGACGCACTCCAGAGTGACTACCACGACCACCACCCCGAGAGCCCAAACTAGCGTACCACTCACGAGCTCGCTGGAGCGTAAGAGGACACTGCTGCTGCACCTGTCCACTACCAGATGCTCCCGAACAACGCACGCCAGAGCGACTACCACTACGGCCACCCCGACAGCCCAAACTAGCGTACCACTCACGGGCCCGCTGGAGCGTAAGAGGACACTGCTGCTGCACCTGTCCACTACCAGATGCTCCCGAACGACGCACTCCAGAGCGACTACCACGACGGCCACCCCGACAGCCTAAACTAGCGTACCACTCACGAGCCTGCTGGAGCGTGAGGGACTCACGCGCACGGTCCTGGAGCTGCATCTTGTCACGTCAGGAACAGTAGCAGCAGGGGCAGTAACAGCAGGAGCAGTGACAGTGGGAGTAGCAGCAGTAGCAGTGCTGGCAGGGGAGTGCTCACCAGTGGTCGGCGGGGCAGGCGCAAGGCGGAGGTGACAGCGGGGCCGTTGGAACTGCAGAGCGAGGCCAGGCCACAGTAGGGAGCTCCGCGGCAGTTGCTCGAGATGCCAGGGGCGGCTGCTGCAGGGACCGGGGCAGCAGTGACGGCAGCGCCAACTGCGGCAGGCTCGGCGGTGGCCGCTGCTGCAGGGCTAGTGGCGGTAGCAGTTGCCGTCCCAGCGGCGGCAGCTGCTGCAGGTACGGTGGCGGCAGCGGCTGCAGAGTCGGCGGCGGCAGCTGATGCAGGGTCGGCGGCGGCAGCTGATGCAGGGTCGGCGGCGGCAGTTGTTGCAATCGCAGCGGCGGCAGCTGCAGCAGCGCCCCAAAACCCTAAAACGGGTGGGATAGGGGCAGGAGCGCGGGGGATGGTGAGGGGGGGGACGGCGCGCGACCCCCAAGGCGCCAGAACGGTCGGGTGGGTGGGTGGAGGGGGGGTGGCGCGCGCTGCTGCCCAAGGCGCCGCGACGGACGGGTGGGAGGGATGCGCGCGCGACCCCCGAGGGCGCCGCGACGGCAAGGCGGGGCGCGCGTGGGCTCCCAATGGCGCCGCGACGACCGGGCGGGGCGCTCGCGGGCTCCCCAGTGCGTCGCGACGGACGGGCGGGGGGTTCGCGGGCTCCTTAGGGCGTCGCGACGGACGGGCGGGGCGCTCGCGGGCTCCCCAGGGCGTCGCGACAGACGGGCGGGGCGCGCTCGGGCGGCTAGCGGGTCGCGCGCGCTAAAGAGAAAGCGGGCCGCGCGCGGGTGGCTAGCAGGCCGTGCGTGCGCGGTAGGGAGAGGCGCACGAGGGCGCAAGAGCGCACGAGGGCGCGGGGGCGCACGAGGGCGCGCGGTAGTAAGAGGCGCACGAGGGCGCGAGGGCGCACGAGGGCGCACGGTAGGTAGGTAGGTAGGTAGGTAGGTAACGGTGGGCCCTAAAACGGTCCTAGTGAAGGACCTGCTCTGATACCATGTCAAGATAGTAAGGACAGTGAGAAGCCACAGCTAGGGTTGACCTAGCTAGGCAAGCAAGAAATGAACAAAGGAGTTGTTGAACTAACAGAGAAATCAGTACAAATAGCAAACCCTAGAATTGTGTACCCCATACAGGCTAACCCACTGTAGCCTAACCAAACACAACATATACAATGTTCGACACACCCCCATAGGCAAAGTGGGGGAGAACTAGGGGTCACAAGACCAGTCAGGGCAAAGCAAGGCAAAACAAGCTCAGGGTGGATCTCGAGGATTCCACACAAATTCCGAGCACAAGCAAGTGGTCACAAGACCAGTTCACATACAGGTTTATAATAGAGCAAGAGGTACAATGATCACAACCTAGCAAGAGTAAACATGCCTTTGCGCTCTCCCTTCCCGTCCTGTTGCCTTCGATCTCTCACCACCGTCCCTTCCCGTCGCCCTCATTCTCTCCCTTTCCCGTCCCCTCGCCTTCTCGCGCTCCCCTCCCGTCCCGTCGCCTTCGCTCTCTCCCCTCCCTTGCCGTCGCCCTTGCTCTCTCCCCTCTCTTTCCATCGCCCTTGCTCTCTCCCATCCCTTTCCGTCGCCCTTGCTTTCTCCCCTCCCTTTCCGTCGCCCTCACTCTCTCCCCTCCCTTTCCGTCGCCCTTGCTCTCTCCCCTCACTTTCCGCCGCCTTCACTTTCTCCCCTCCCTTTGTGTCGCCCTTGCTCTCTCCCATCCCTTTCCGTCACCCTTGCTCTCTCCCCTACCTTTCCGTCGCCCTCGCTCTCTCCCCTCTCTTTCCGTCGCCCTTGCTCTCTCCCCTCCTTTTCCGTCGCCCTTGCTCTCTCCCCTCCTTTTCCGTCCTTGCTCTCTCCCATTCCTTTCGGTCACCCTTGCTCTCTCCCCTCCCTTTACGTCGCCCTTACTCTCTTCCCTCCCTTTTAGTTGCCCTCGCTCCACCTCATCTCACCCTCCCCAATGCCCCTCCCATCTCCCTATCATTCAGCGGATTTTGCGCACGCATCTTTCCTCTCACGTCCTCGTTTCTGTTGCACTTTCTGTCTCATCTCGAGACACCCCCCTTTCTCTGTTTTTCGCCTCTTGTTATTCACGTGTTGTTTTTGCCGCCCGGACAGGCCCGTGTCTAAGGCCTTTGCTTTGTGTGGTTGGACTTTCTTTGCATGGGTTGGACATGCTTCACGATGTGAATTTGGCATTGAATGTAAATGAGATTTGCAGTCGCAAACTATCGAGCGACGCACTTGCACATGCTTGCGACAATTTTTGTTTGAGAATAAATTTGGAGACTCGATCAGTATCATTTGTAGCTGGAAAATGAACAAGAGGCGACGAAATCGTCTTAGGGTTGCGAAGCAACACTTGAAACATGCGTTAGTTTTTTTAAACGGCTTTGATTACCTTGATACGTCTAGAAGTGAGATGATTCATTCAATATTTACGGTTTTATGGGAATTTCAAGTTAATATATATATTTCTTTAATATCGACAGCACAATAATGCAGATGGTGTGTAAACATTGTAGGGCAGAAACCGAAACCCTCAATGGAAACGTTAGCATGAATACTTCTAGTTCTATATTCTATTTCTTCTCAATTGTTGTTGATGTAACATTCTGCAACTACACATTGTCGGGTGGCTTTTAAACGCGTGCAGTTTGGCTAACGTCAGCAGCATTGCAAGAAGTTACATGCGAGATTCATCACGATGGCTGACGTCAGCAGCGATGTTTAAAATGTTGGAAACAATTGATTTAACACCTCTGTCGTGTCGAAACACGAAGCCACAAGCGAAGCGAAACATTTCAAAGCATCGGCGAGTCAACCCTCGGAGGTTGAACAACAGCTGGAGGTTACGCGAAAGTCAAAGGTCAGCGACCTTTGACCTGACAAGTACAGCGCGACAGCAAGGACAAACTCTTGGGCTGAGAAAAGCCCTTAGAGGATCTTTGCAGGGGTGAACTCTAAGTAGGAATGGTGTAATAGTGAAAGCGTTTTAATGATAGAATTGTGTGTCAGAATCACGAAGTGTTTGAAGTATGAGAAGATGGCAGTACAAGTATGAAACCCTAGAATTGTGTACCCCCTAAAGGCTAACCCACTGTAGCCTACACAGCAATAACATGTGTACAATGTTTGACACACCCCCATAGGCAAAGTGGGGAAGAGCAAGGGGTCACAAGACCAGTCAAGAAAGGCAAGCAAGCTCAGGGTGGATCACAACGTCACCACACATTCAGAGCACAAGCAAAAAGCCACAAGGCCAGTTCACATGCAGAGACATATATGTAGCACAAACATCACAGTGATCTATATCTAGCAAGCATGCAGGTATATATATATATAGATCACAGTACAGGCAAAGTCTACAACAAGTGAGGAAAAGTGGGCACAAGCCCTAACAAAGTGCAGAAACGCTGATGATCACTAGGCGGAAGTGCCTTGGTGAATATATCAGCAGTGTTGGCCTGAGTGGCCACGTAACGCAGACGAAGCTGACCACGTCGCTGCAACTCTCGAGCCAAAAAGTACCGCTGAGCGATGTGCTTCGTTCTGTGCTCCAGTCTGTGCTCCTCACACAAGGCAATGGCAGCCTCGTTGTCAACGTACAGCACTGGAGGAGAACGAGGCCGCTCTCCAAGGTCGGTCAGCAGGTAGGTGAGCCAGCGTAACTCCTGAGCAGCCATGGCTGTGGCGTAGATCTCAGCCTCACAACTGGAGCTGAGAACTGAAGACGAACGTGTAGAACGCCAAGAAACTGAGCTAGAGCCAAGACTGAAGGTGTAACCCTGTGACGACCGCTGTGTAGCCTGGTCGTCAACCCAAGAAGCGTCTGAGTGCCCAGTGAGAACAACTGGGCTCCCTCCTCCAAGCACGAGCCCCATGCCTGATGTACTGCACAAGTAGCGCAGTACCCTCTTTGCAGCATCCCAGTGCACCTTTCGGTGCCTGCCAGGAGCCACGTAGCGGGCCAGAAGGCCAAGAGGGTACGCTAGGTCAGGACGAGTGCAAGTCATCAGGTACATGAGGCAGCCCACTAGCTTTGGGTAAGGACCACTCGGCTCTACGGACTCATCCGAAGGCAGAGCTGAGAGCGAGTGACCTATAGCCAAAGGAGTGGCCTGTGCTCAGGACCAAGTGAAGCCGAAGCGCTGAAGGACCTGCTGCACCATGTGTGACTGAGTCAGTGTGATGGTGCGGCGTGCTCTGTCCCGGGTGATCTGCAAGCCAAGGTAGCTGCGCAGTTCACCCAGGTCTGTGCACGTGTGTCTCTTCTACAGTTCGGACTTCACGCGGGCGAGAGCCCCAGTGTCAGCAGTGGCAAAGACCAAGTCGTCGTCGTACACGAGGATGTAGAACGGCGGCAGCGAAGTGTCGGTGCGCAGAAACAGCGACGGGTCAGCAGTAGAAGGCGCGAACCCAAGAGCCGCAAGTGTAGTCCTCAGTGTGTCGTGCCACTCACGTGGCGCCTGGCGGAGACCGTAGACCGGCCGGCGGAGGCTCCACTGGGTACCAGGAGGAAACGACCCAGTGAAGCCAGGAGGGCGGCGCAGCCAGATCTCCTCGTGCAGGCTGCCCTGCAAGAAAGCTGTGCTGAAGTCAAGAGAGTGAAGCTCGTAGTCACGCTGAGCGGCAACGTGCAGCAGTACCCGAAGAGTGGTCATCTTCGGGGTGGGGGAGAAGGTCTGGAAGAAGTCGACCCCCTCTCGCTGACTGAAGCCTCGGGCAACGTAACGAGCCTTGAAGACAGGCGGAGAACCCGGCGGCCGCTTCACCATGAAAATCCACATGCCACTGACGATGTTCGCCCCAGGAGGGGGAACGTCATCAACGTAAGTGCCAGTGGACTTCCAGGATGCCATCTTTGCGTCCATGGCTGCCTGCCACTGAGAGGAGTAGGGACCCGCGATCGCCTCAGCGTAAGATCGCGGGGTAGGGATGTCTATAGCATCCGGGTCTCCCTCAGGGGCAAGCAGCATGGCCACGAGATGAGGCGCAGCGGCTGCAAGACACTCAAGGTCCTTGTGCCTGTCCTCAAGGACGTCCATGCCAAGAGCACACTCACCCCCGACGGACGGAGGACAGACAGACTCAGACTCAGCAACAAGGCTAGCAGTGTAGTCTAGACGACAAGCAGCAGCAAAGTCAACAAGCTCAGCGACCAAGGCAGACGCAGCAGAAGACTCAAACGAGGGGTCAGTGACAACAGTGGCTAGCAGATGCGTGACAGTAGGGTGCTCAGCACGAAACCGGTCAGACTCAGGGTCCGGAACGTGAGGCAAAGACGACGCAGGAGGGGACGGCAGAGGAACAGACTGTGGAACAGAGGAAGGACGACGGACGACAAGGTGCGTGCCGGGGATAGTCGGTGACCCCGAACGCGGAACACGACGAACGGTGTGACCAGAGCGAACTGGCGAGACAGGACGCGACGCAGGCTCACGACGCTCAGTAAGGCCCCCTGACTGCTCAGTGTAAGGAGAAGGAGCAGGAAGCGGTGAGTCAGGCAGGAGGGGAAGACCGGTAGAAGACGGAAGACTAAGAACCTGGTGAAGGACAGAGTCAGGCGGTGGCAGAGACGACGGAGACGGCGGAGCAAAGAACAGTCAGGCGAGACTGGGTAGTGTCACCAGCACCAGCAGCTCCAGCACCTACAGCATCTCCCGTACCTCCAGTAGCTCCACCACCCCCAGCGGCAACTCCTCCAGGACAGTCTCCACCAGCAGCAGCGCCTCCAGAACCAGCACCCCCAGTCGCATCGTCCCCAGTAGGAGTACCCTCAGACACAGCACCACCAGCCCCAGCAGCTCGAGTACCAGCGGTACGAGCACCTCCGGGACCAGCGACGTGGGCACCCCCAGGAGACAACAAACCAGCACCTTTCTCAGCTCCAGTGACGTCAGTGGAAGTACCGCCAGGAGCAGAGTCCCGAGCTACAGGAGCGCGACGCTGACGGCGACCGTACCAGTCGCGCAGCTGCTGGGAGGTGAGAGGCACACGCGTACGAAGGCGGCTACTCCAAGGAGACCGCGCAACAGCAGACTCAGAACCCGCAGCGCCAGAACCTCCAGCTCCAGTGGTAGCTCCAGCAGCTCCAGAACCTCCAGCAGCGCTCAGCACCCCCAGGCCCAGCAAACCCAGGCTCAGCAACCCCAGGCTTAGCACCCCCAGACCCAGCACCCCCAGGCTCAGCACCCCCAGCCCCAGTACCCCAAGGCTCAGCACCCCCAGTGTCAGCACCCCCAGTCTCCGCACCCCCAGGCTCAGCACCCCAAGGCTCAGCACCCCCAGGCTCAGCACCCCCAGCAGTACCACCCGCAGCAGCACCTGAGTCACCTGTGACCTCGACAGGCTCAGCGACGGGAGGAGGGTCTACCTGAGAGACACCTGAGGGAGCAGGACCCTGAGGGGGAAGGGGGTCTAGCGGAGGGGGACCTGGAGCGAGGAAAAGCGGCGGGGGAGGGAGGGGGGCAGTGCGATAGGGGAAGAGACGGTAAAAGGGTACCGACTCGTCAAAGGTGACGTCCTGAGAGGCAAAGACACGGCGCGAGGTGGGGTGGTAAAACTGCCAGCCAGGCGCGTCGGGGACAAAGCCAAGGAAGACGCAGGGAACGGCACGGGAGGAGAGCTTGTCCGCGGACGTATCGCGAACAAGGGCTCGGCATCCCCAGACACGGAACACCGACGCATCGCCAACCTCCCCCGTCCAACGCAGTGTGGGCGAGGTCTCCGGAGCAGAGACACGGGGCCAAAGGTTGAGCTGATGCGCAGCGTACCGCACTGCAAACGGCCACAGGAAATGGGGGGCAGCCGCATGGATCATGGAGGTACGAGCGACCTCCATGACTAAACCAATGCGGCGCTCAGCAACCCCATTCTGCTGTGGGGAGTCCAGAAGCGTGAAGGTCTGGCGGATGCCGTGCTCCGCACAGTAGGCAGCCAGGAGGGCGGAGGAAAACTCACCACCCCTGTCAGAGTGCAGACGCAAGACGGGAAAGTCCGACTGGAACCGCTGGCGGAGCTGGAGACGAGCGGCGCGGATCCAAGGGATCAAAACATCAGGGACCTCACCCTTGGTGCGCAAGGGGAAGACCGTGGTGTAGCGCGTGTAGTCGTCGACGACCAGCAGGAAGTACCGCTCGTGGCCCTGTCCCCGGACGCGGGCCGGGCCCCACACGTCCAGGTGAAGAGTCTGCAGGGGAGCCTCTGTGGGAGGGAACGAGGAGGAGTGAGGGGTGGCGCGCTGCCGCCCCTCGACACAAGGAAGACAGGGAGGAGCAGGCGAGGGTGGGAGGGGAGGTAGAACCCTGGGAAGACCAGAGACAAGGTACCGGGAGTGCATGCCACGAAGGCGCTGCACGGAGGGGTGACCAAGGCGGTGGTGCCAGAGGACGGTCTGGTGCGACAGGGAGCGACACGAGCAGGGAGCCGACAGCTGACCTGACGCAGACGCAGACGCAGCTACCTGAGGGGACTCAGTGGTCAGTGTGTACAGGTCGGACCCCGGCTGCCGAGTGAAGGTAGCCAGGTGGCGACCCGTCCGAGCACACGTACAGTGGGTCACCCGCTCATAGGCAGGGGTGAACTGGTGAACACCCCCGTCCTGGAGAGCAGAGCCCGCCACCAAGTTCGTAGAGAACGAGGGGAGGTAGAGACCCGACAGAGTGCCAGACGGGGCCGCAGGACAAGGGAGGACAGTGGAGGAGGTCGCAAGGACCGGGCCCCCAGAGGGGTCAGCAAGGGAGACAGCAACAGGCCGAGCTAGTGGCTCAAGGACAGTGCGGTCACGAAAGAAACAGCGGGAAGCACCTGAGTCCAGTGTGAAAGTGTGCAGTGCCGCAGTAGACCCAGTACCAGCAGACGCAGACGCACGAGCACCTAGCGCAGCAGCCTTACCAGTACCAATACCTGGGTCGGGCGGCACACTCAGGTAACAGTCACCCTCAGCACTAATAGTCAATGCATACATGGCAGCAAGGATAGCATCATAATCAAGAGCAAAGACATCAATCCCCTTCCTAAGCAGATCAGCCCAGCGAGGCAGCTCAGAGGCGTCAGGGAACTGCTCGCGCCAGGCGTCGTCGAGGCGAAAGAAACAGCGCTGCGCCGTGTGGAACCTCCCACAAGTCAAGCCAGCGCGGTCACCTGTGCGGATGACGTACGGGCAGGGACCCCCACCCCCAGACCCCCCACGCTGAGAGTACCACTCACGGAGCTGCTGGGGCGAGGGAGTCTCGCCAGGACGCTGCTGCGGCTGCCTCTGGCCACCGCCGAATCCCCCACGCTGCACCGTTCCACCGCGCCCGCCACCCGCTCCACCGCCAACACCACTGCCACCACCGCCCCCACCTCCCGCAACACCGCCGCCGCCGCCACCACCCCCTGTGCCGCCACTGATCCCCCCACCACCCGCGCCACTCCCACTCCCGCCACCACCCCCGCCCCCCCCACCCTCTCCACCGCCGCCGCCCCCGCCTCCACCTCCACCACCCCGGCCCCCCTTGCCCCTGCCGCCCTTGCGCCTCCCACTAGGAGTAGACGCGGCTCCGATTCCCTCAGCTCCGAGGTAGTCGACAGCAGCAGCAGATGCAATGGAGGGGAGGAGGGGGGAGGGGGAGCACCCCTCAAAGAAGGGGGTGCAGGGGTCACCACGAGAGGCACCTACAGCTACAATGCTCTTCTCAGCTGCTAGGAGTTCCTTCTCGAGGAGGTCGACAGTGAGGTCAGTGGGGGAGAGAGCGAGAAACTGGTCCCTGACAGTGCGAAGGGAGTCAGGGAGGCGGGTGACAAGGTGGTACAGTGTGAGGTACATCGGGGGGGGGGGGGGTTCTTGGCGAGGAAATCGGGGGGGAGCGCGGCACGGTAGCGGAGGTCACTGGTACGGAGGTGGGTGATGAGGTCAGCTACAGTGGCAAAGGCGGACAGGTCGGGAAAGAGGTAGGGCAGTGAGAGACGGCCTATAGCAGCAGTGGCAGGGGAGGAGTAGCGCGCGACTACGGCGTCGTACAGCTCTTTAGCGGTCTTATGCTGGCCGAAGTGCTCGCGCTCATCTAACGGCAGGTGGCTGCGAACGGCTAGGCGAGCGTGAGCATCACGGGTCTGCCACTGGGAGCGAGCAGTACTGTCAGCAGTTGCGGGAGGTGCGGGGGCGGCGCCTGACGTGTGGTCATACAGGGAGACATCGTCCTTAGCAGTGATCTGGAGGAACAGGTGGAGGTCATCTAACCAAACCCCAAACTTAATCGGGCGGCCCTCAGCGTCAAAGGTGAGAATAGAGGGGGTGGCCATAGTTGCAGTAGCAGCAGTAAGAACAGTAGCAGCAGTAGCAGTAGTAGTAGCTTACTGGTGCAGTTGAAGCAGCAGGACGGCAGGAGTTGCTGCAGGTGGGGCACAGTAGGGCGGCGCTACTCGGCTAGGGCGGCGCGGCTCGGTTCGGGCGGCGCGGTTCGGTTCGGGCGGCGCGGCTCGGCTCGGGCTGGGCTACGCTACGGTGCGCGACGGGGGGGGGGTGCGCGTGGGCAGCTGTAGCGGGCGGGCCGTGGCCGTGCGCGGGCCTGTCTAGCGCGCGGGTGGCTGCGTAGCGGGGCGTCGCGGCGGCCTAGGGGTGGGGCTGCGACACCCTGGGTGGGCGGTCGACGGGCGGCTAGGGGCTGCTCATGGGCGGTGCCGGGCGCGTGGGCGGTTAGGGGCCGTCGCGCGCTCAGAAAAAAGGGCCGCGCGCGGGCCGCTAGTGGGTGACGCGCGCGAAAAAAAAAAGGCCGCGCGCGGCACTAGCGAGCTGCGCGCGGGCAGGAGGAGGAAGAGAGGCGCACGAGGGCGCACTAAGAGAGGCGCTCGAGGGCGCTTATAGCGGTGGGCCCTTAGGTAAGTGGTCCTAGGACTAGGACCTAAGCTCTGATACCATGTAAGAATCACGAAGTGTTTGAAGTATGAGAAGATGGCAGTACAAGTATGAACCCTAGAATTGTGTACCCCCTAAAGGCTAACCCACTGTAGCCTACACAGCAATAACACATGTACAATGTTTGACATTGTGAACCACCTTGCGCTAGTGTGTGAGGGCAAAGTAAGTTGATTAAAGCAAAGAGATACAAGATTATATATAGGGGTAGAAGGAGTATGAAGAGATAAAGTTATAACTACTTTACTGTTGCTGTTGCGGTTCGATACAGTGACGACTCGGGCAACTGCTCTGTAACGAGTCAGTTGTGTGTCCTTGCTGTCGCGCTGTACTTGTCAGGTCAAAGGTCGCTGACCTTTGACTTTCGCGTAACCTCCAACAGTTACTTCAACCTCCGAGGGTTGACTCGCTGGTGCTTCGATATACTTCGCTTCGCTTTTGACTTGGTGTTTTGACACGATAGAAGCGAATTAAATTAATTGTTTCCAACACTCCCCTTCGCTTCTGGAGTGTCGCAGCTGATGACGTGGCTCTGTCCAGTCAGCAGCATGCAGTACTCGAACTTCTGTTTTCCGAGCTTCTTGGTCAAGTAGTCGGCTGCCATCTCGGATGTGGGGCAGTATGACAGCTCAAGCCTCCCCTTTTCGATCTCGTCCTTCACGAAGAAGTATCGCAGGGCGATATGTTTCGTCCTGTTCGCAAAGCCGTTCTTGTTGGCGATGCGAATCGCTGACTGGTTGTCGCAGAACAGGGTGAAGCTTGGTAACTGGGCCAATTTTGCTTCTTCCAGCAGTTCGCGAAGGTAGAGTCCTTCCTTGGTGGCTGAGCAGAGTGCGATGTATTCTGCTTCTGCTGAAGAGAGGGCGATTAATTCCTGCTTGCTCGACTGCCAGGAGATAGGACCGATAGGCTCGAGGCGGTAGATGTAGCCGGTGCGCGAGCGCCTGTTGTCAGAATCGCCGGCGTGATCGGCGTCGACGTAGCCGATTAGCCTAGGTGTTGTATTCGCGTTTTTATGGTAGGTGAGACCGATTGTTGGAGTGCTTACGAGATAGTTGAGGGCGCGGTCGAGCTCCGCCATGTGTTTTGCTTCAGGCCTCTTGAGATGGGTGGCGAGTTGGCTTGCGGAATACGATAGGTCCGGTCGGCAGGTGACAGCTGCGAAGAGGAGGCATCCCAGCTTCCTCTGGTAGTCGCGTATGCCGGCGGGCTTTAGTAGAGCGGAGCCTTCCTTGTTGTTTCCTGTCGTGTAGCGGTACGGCGTGGCGATGACGGTCGGTGTGAGTGCGAAACGTTTGGCGATGGTGTCGGCGTATTTCGCAGCGCTGAGGTAGATCGCGTTCTCCTCTTCCCCGATGTTGAGGCCGAGGTACTGTGTGACGGTAGATGAAACAGTGAGAGTGAGGTCCTTCTGCGGCTCCCCTTCGAACCAGGTCGTGACACCGTCGGTCGAGCCGATGTAAAGCAGATCGTCTACATAGACGATTAACAGAATGTAGTCGTCGCCTTTCGTGAGCCGGTACATACCCTGATCGTGCGGTAGCTGCTTGAAGCCGATGCGAATGAGGCGAGCGTGCAGGTACTGTTGCCATAGCCGTGGGGCTTGTTTGATGCCGTAGAGCGATTTGAGCAGCTGGCAGACGTGGTTAGGTTCTCCGTTGGAGCCGTGCGGTAGCTCGACGAAGATTTCTGCGTCGACGGGTGCGTATAGAAATGCATTGGCGACGTCAATTTGTCGTAGCTTTTTCTTCTTCATGGCGGCGATCGCGAGAAGGATTCGTAGCGAAGTGTGTCGACTGACCGGAGCAAATGTTTCGGTGAAGTCGCGTCCGTGCTCTTGGTCGAAGCCGCGTACGACCCAGCGCGCCTTGAATTTGTCAATGGTGCCGTCAGCCTTCGTCTTCACACGGAAGACCCATTTCCCGGTGAGTATTGTCTTGTTTTGTGCCACGCCAATGGGAACAACTTTCCAGGTATTGCGTTCCTCCAACGCTTTTAGTTCTCTGTCTATGGCTTTGCGCCATTTTTCCCTATGCTCCCCCCCCAGAGCCTGCTGAACTGTGGCAGGCTCCTTAGGAATCGCCGTGCCGTGAACCGCGGTGACGAGGCCGAGAATCTGGAGTCCACTCTGTGTGTAGCGGGGGAGTGTTGTATCCTCAGGCAGGCAGCGCGATCTCGCCTCAGCAGCGCCAGACGCCTTAGGCAGCGCGAAATCGCCCCTTAGCAGCGCCAGACGCCACCAGGCAGCGCGATCTCGCCTCAGCAGCGCCAGACGCCTTAGGCAGCGCGAAATCGCCCCTTAGCAGCGCCTCGACGCCACCAGGCAGCGCGATCTCGCCTCAGCAGCGCCAGACGCCTTAGGCAGCGCGAAATCGCCCCTTAGCAGCGCCTCGACGCCACCAGGCAGCGCGATCTCGCCTCAGCAGCGCCAGACGCCTTAGGCAGCGCGAAATCGCCCCTTAGCAGCGCCAGACGCCACCAGGCAGCGCGATCTCGCCTCAGCAGCGCCAGACGCCTTAGGCAGCGCGAAATCGCCCCTTAGCAGCGCCAGACGCCACCAGGCAGCGCGATCTCGCCTCAGCAGCGCCAGACGCCTTAGGCAGCGCGAAATCGCCCCTTAGCAGCGCCTCGACGCCACCAGGCAGCGCGATCTCGCCTCAGCAGCGCCAGACGCCTTAGGCATCGCAAAATCGCCCCTTAGCAGCGCCTCGACGCCACCAGGCAGCGCGATCTCGCCTCAGCAGGGCGGAATCGCCGCAGAAACCACCAGGTACCACCTGAAACGCTATCATGGAAGACGACCCAGGCCCCGGGGACCCCGGGGTCTGGGCGGGAGACGGCGCAAACAACGGCACGACGGAGGCCATCGGGGGCAAAGGGGGGACAAGCACGGCGGCAGTCACGGGGTCGCTCTGCCTAGGGGCTGGCCACAAAAGACGGGGGGGGCCTGAGGGTGCGCTCCAGAGCCCACGCATCTGTCGCCTCCGCCACGAAGACATTCTGTGCCTCTTCGGCAAACCACCCAAGAGGCGGTGTTTTGAAGCGAACCGCCCGATTTCAGCAATTACAGGTGGACAATCCCCCAAGAACCCCCCCAGCAACCGGGCTGGCCAGAGCGGCGTCTCAGAGCCTTCGGCCGTCAACGAAGAGGGGGGAGAAGCAATGGGCGACAAGAGTCTGGCCGCCGATGTGGCATTGGAGGCTGCGAGGGCAGCTTGGGAAGAGCATCGTAGGCGCTTGCAACAACAGCACAACACTCGCAGGAGTGGCCTACCTGAGAGCGTAACGCGGCACAGTGCCTGCTCGACCGACGTCGACTCTCCCCTAGTCGTGCCACGTCTCGCACGGCGGCAGGAATGGCGGCGTCGGAGGGCGGCAGGAAGAGACAGGCAACGGGAGCCGCCGGTGGGGGGCCGGTGGGACCTGCAGGCGGGCGGACAGCAGGGGAGCCGGGAAAGAGGCCGACAGCCGCCGGAGGGGACGAGGCAGCAGCGGCTGCAGAGCGGAGGGCAGCATGAGCTGCAGGGCGGAGGGCAGCAGCAGCTGCAGAGCGGAGGGCAGCAGCAGCTGCAGAGTGGGGGGCAGCAGCAACTGCAGAGCGGAGGGCAGCAGCAGCTGCAGAGTGGGGGGCAGCAGCAGCTGCAGAGCGGAGGGCAGCAGCAACTGCTGCAGAGCGGAGGGCAGCATGAGCTGCAGGGCGGAGGGCAGCAGCAGCTGCAGAGCGGAGGGCAGCATCAACTGCAGAGCGGAGGGCAGCAGCAGCTGCAGAGCGGAGGGCAGCAGCAGCTGCAGAGCGGAGGGCAGCAGCAGCTGCAGAGTGGGGGGCAGCAGCAACTGCTGCGGAGCGGAGGGCAGCATGAGCTGCAGGGCGGAGGGCAGCAGCAGCTGCAGAGCGGAGGGCAGCAGGAGCTGCAGAGCGGAGGGCAGCGGCAGCTGCAGAGCGGAGGGCAGCAGCAACTGCTGCAGAGCGGAGGGCAGCATGAGCTGCAGGGCGGAGGGCAGCAGCAGCTGCAGTGCGGAGGGCAGCAGCAGCTGCAGAGTGGAGGGCAGCAGCAGCTGCAGAGCGGAGGGCAGCAGCAACTGCTGCAGAGCGGAGGGCAGCATGAGCTGCAGGGCGGAGGGCAGCAGCAGCTGCAGAGCAGAGGGCAGCAGCAGCTGCAGAGCGGAGGGCAGCAGCAGCTGCAGGGCGGAGGGCAGCAGCAGCTGCGGAGTGGAGGGCAGCGTCAGCTGCAAAGCAGAGCACAGCAGGAGCTGCAGAGGGGAGGGCAGCATGAGCTGCGGAGTGGAGAGCAGCAGGAGCTGCAGAGTGGAGAGCAGCAGGAGCTGCAGAGTGGAGAGCAGCAGGAGCTGCAGAGTGGAGAGCAGCAGGAGCTGCAGAGTGGAGGGCATCAGGAGGAGCAGAGTGGGGGGCAGCAAGAGACATGGTGGGTGAGCGATGTGGAGATGGTGGACGAGGCAGGCACCGACGAGCTGGAATCAAGCCCCATGGAGGGGGAGAATGCCAACCCCGACTCCTCGGACCAAGCGGAAAGGCCCCGAGTGCGGGGGCGGGTCCGGAGGCGACGGGCAACCAAACTGCTACAGCTGCAGAGGGGAGGGCAGCAGCAGCTGCAGAGCGGAGGGCAGCAGCAACTGCTGCAGAGGGGAGGGCAGCAGCAGCTGCAGAGCGGAAGGCAGCAGGAGCTGCAGAGCGGAGGGCAGCGGCAGCTGCAAAGAGGAGATCAGCAGCTGCTGCAGAGTGGAGGGCAGCAGGAGCTGCAGAGCCGAGAGCAGCAAGAGCTGCGGAGTGGAGAGCAGCAGCAGCTGCAGAGTGGAGGGCAGCAGGAGCTGCAGAGTGGAGGGCAGGAGGAGCTGCAGAGCGGAGGGCAGCAAGACCCACTGGGGGAGTTGGATGTGGAGATAGAGGCCGAGGCATACACCGACGAGCTGGAATCAAGCCCCATGGAGGGTGAGAATGCCAACCCCGACTCCTCGGACCAAGCGGAAAGGCCCCGAGTGCGGGGGCGGGGCCGGAGGCGACGGGCAACCAAACTACTACAGCTGCAGAGGGGAGGGCAGCAGCAGCTGCAGAGCGGAGGGCAGCAGGAGCTGCAGGGCGGAGGGCAGCAGCCCAATCAGAGCGGAGGGCAGCAGCAGCTGCAGTGCGGAGGGCAGCAGGAGCTGCAGGGCGGAGGGCAGCAGCCCAATCAGAGCGGAGGGCAGCAGCAACTGCAGAGCGGAGGGCAGCAGCAACTGCAGAGCGGAGGGCAGCAGCAGCTGCAGAGCGGATGGCAGCAGCAGCTGCAGAGCGGATGGCAGCAGCAGCTGCAGAGCGGAGGGCAGCAGCCCAATCAGAGCGGAGGGCAGCAGCAACTGCAGAGCGGAGGGCAGCAGCAGCTGCAGAGCGGAGGGCAGCAGCCCAATCAGAGCGGAGGGCAGCAGCAGCTGCAGAGCGGAGGGCAGCAGCAGCTGCAGAGTGGAGGGCAGCAGCCCAATCAGAGTGGTGGGCAGCAGCAGCTGCAGAGCGGAGGGCAGCAGGAGCTGCAGAGCGGAGGGCAGCAGCAGCTGCAGAGCGGAGGGCAGCAGCCCAATCAGAGCGGAGGGCAGCAGCAGCTGCAGAGCGGAGGGCAGCAGCCCAATCAGAGCGGAGGGCGGCAGAAACTGCAGAGCGGAGGGCAGCATGAGCTGCAGGGCGGAGGGCAGCAGCAGCTGCAGAGTGGGGGGCAGCAGCAACTGCTGCAGAGCGGAGGGCAGCATGAGCTGCAGGGCGGAGGGCAGCAGCAGCTGCAGAGCGGAGGGCAGCAGGAGCTGCAGAGCGGAGGGCAGCAGCAGCTGCAGAGCGGAGGGCAGCAGCAACTGCTGCAGAGCGGAGGGCAGCATGAGCTGCAGGGCGGAGGGCAGCATGAGCTGCAGGGCGGAGGGCAGCAGCAGCTGCAGAGCGGAGGGCAGCAGCAACTGCAGAGCGGAGGGCAGCAGCAGCTGCAGAGCGGAGGGCAGCAGCAGCTGCAGAGCGGAGGGCAGCAGCAGCTGCAGAGCGGAGGGCAGCAGGAGCTGCAGAGCGGAGGGCAGCAGCAGCTGCAGAGCGGAGGGCAGCAGCCCAATCAGAGCGGAGGGCAGCAGCAGCTGCAGAGCGGAGGGCAGCAGCCCAATCAGAGCGGAGGGCAGCAGCAACTGCAGAGCGGAGGGCAGCAGCAGCTGCAGAGCGGAGGGCAGCATGAGCTGCAGGGCGGAGGGCAGCAGCCCAATCAGAGCGGAGGGCAGCAGCAGCTGCAGAGCGGAGGGCAGCAGCAGCTGCAGAGTGGAGGGCAGCAGCCCAATCAGAGCGGAGGGCAGCAGCAGCTGCAGAGCGGAGGGCAGCAGCAGCTGCAGAGCGGAGGGCAGCAGCAGCTGCAGAGTGGAGGGCAGCAGCCCAATCAGAGCGGAGGGCAGCAGCAGCTGCAGAGCGGAGGGCAGCAGCGGCTGCAGAGTGGGGGGCAGCTGCAGCTGCAGTGCGGAGGGCAGCAGCAGCTGCAGAGCGGAGGGCAGCAACAGCTGCAGAGCGGAGGGCAGCAGCAGCTGCAGAGCGGAGGGCAGCAACAGCTGCAGAGCGGAGGGCAGCAGGAGCTGCCCGATGGGGTGCAGCTTGCGAGGCTGCCAGAGGGGGAGATGGAGATGGAGTCGAGCAGACAGGTCTTGCCGGCGTGTTCGAGTGGAGAGGAGCACCCAGACCCTATGCTGACACCCCCGCCCCGCATCCCGTGCGAAACCTGTTATCGCACTTTCACGGAGAGAGGAAAGGCCACGCGTCATATGTCGGCCTGCAGGGCAGCGGACGCCAAGCGCCGTGCACAGGCGCTTGGGTTGACCCGCGACGTCACAGACGACTCGGACAGCGAACCTCCGCCACCACGGGATATCAGTGAAGAGGTGTGGGCCGCAGTTCCCACATGGGACTGGGAGTCGTTTTTCGGGATCGAATTGGTGCCAGGGAGAATCATGCGTCGCATCCCACAGCGCGCAAGACTGGGGGTGCTTGATGCACTAGCTTGTATCCTGAAGCGGCTCAAGTCAAAGGCAGCAGACGAGGCGGCATCCTTGGTGTTTTTGGCCTTCCCTCGTCTTTTCTTGGGGATTCCAACCGGGCAAGGCCAGGGGCAGAGGGCGGCAATTAGGGAGCGGTTGGAGAAGTTTTGGGCTGGGGAGTGGCAGCAGCTGTTTGAGTTGGCGGTGGCGGCGATGCAACCTGCGGCTCGCCCCTTGTCCTTCACCCCACCCGAGCATGATCCTGATGCCGTGCGCCTATCCCGCTGCCGTACAAGGTGCAAAGTGGGAGAATGGAGTCGGGGTTTGGCGTGCCTTACGGCTGGTAGCATCGCTCAGCCCTCTCAGCACATGGTGGACGCGCTACGAGCGAAACACCCATCGTGCGAGTCCGCCATTCCTGGGTGGGTGCAGGAGGAGACAGTCGAGCCTTCCCTTATCCCACAGCTCTCAGTGGAGGTACTCGGCCAGGCGATCCACTCAGCGGCTAGGGCGTCCGCACCAGGACCGTCGGGGTGGGTGACGGAGCACCTGCGCGACACTTTTCTCTCTGAGCCCGCGTATCTGTCCCACCTGCTAGAGGTCTTCACCCAGTGGACCAAGGGAGAGGTAGCGGAGCGCGTGCGACCCTGGCTCACTGCGTCCAACTTGGTGGGCCTGTCGAAGCCGAATGGTGACGTTCGCCCGGTGGCTATAGGCGAGGTGCTCCCCCGCATACTATCTCGGGCCATATGCATCGTGCTTCGCCCGAAGATGATGTCGCACTTTGCTCCGTGTAACCAGTTTGGAGTCGGGTCCAGGTCGGGAGTGGAAGTCCTCGCACATGCCTTTCGCTCCGCCATCTCTACTCACCCGTCGTGGTGTGCGCTGCAAATTGACGTGGCGAACGCTTTCAACTCCTTCCATCGGCGGGAAATGTTTGAGGGTCTTCGACAGTCGCCTTTCAAGGGATTGATTCCATTTCTGCGTGTCTTCTACGGCACTCCTAGCGACCTCTATCTCCGAGCGGGCCCTTTTGTCGAAGCTTTGGCTTCCGAGCGGGGCTCGAGGCAAGGGGATCCATTGGGTCCGTTTCTGTTCGCGTTCACACAGCAGCTGGTTATGGAACCAACCAAAATGGAGTACGCCGACTTACTCTTCCTCAGCTATGCTGACGATACGTATATCCTGGGGCCTAGGGAACGGGTTCTAGCAGCCTATGAGGCCTTGCGGGAACGACTGGACGGGCTGGGTTTGGAGGTGCAGCCGCATAAGTGTAAGCTATGGGAGCGAGGGAGGGACCAGGATGGGGAGGAGAGAAATGAGACTGTCCCGCCCGGCATGCAGCAGACATGGACGGGGCTCACTGTGGTAGGGGTGCCCATTGGGGAGGAGGACTGGGAGGTGGCTAGCCTGCGTCGCCGGCTGACGGAGCTGCATGCACCTGTCCCCTGGCTTCCTCTGCTTGACCACCCACAGATTGCGTCCCATTTGTTGGCGATCGCAGTGTCGGCGCGCCCGATCTACCTCACACGGACGATGCCTCCACGACCTGAGGTTGTGGAGGCTTTTCGGGACTGGGACACGAAGCTGGAAGATTGTTTCGAGGAGCTGTTTCCAGATAGTACCTGGGATCACGATTCGGGGAAGTCCCAGATGGCTCGTTTACAGCTGCACCTTCCTGCCAGACTCGGGGGGTTCGGCATTCGATCTGCGGCTGACCTTAGTCCTCTGTCGTATGCATGTGGCTGGTGCCAAGCAGTGAGCGATGTGGCTCGGTTGGGGGTGGCAGGTGAGGAGCGGATGTTTGAGGAGTTTTTCCGCACGCCCGAGGCTACGACCTTGTTGGACCCCTGGTTTGCGAGAGCAGTGGATCTGCTTCCACAGTCGGTTCGGCAGGAGATGCCACCCCTTGCCTTGTGCACCGCTGATCCGCCTATGCTGCTCTTCCCCACACAACACCGTCGCCTGGCGGTTGAGAGCCTCCAATCTCTTCGAGGCATGGCCCACAACGATGCCACCCTGGCCCGTTTGACATCCCTTCAGGGCCCGGGGGCTGGGGCGTGGGTTTCTGCCGTTCCTTCGCACGAGGAGGCTACCTTCACCGCAGCCGAGTGGAGCATCTGCGCGTCCATGCGCCTAGGCCTCCCTATTCAGCAGCTGATAGTGGCCGGCAAGTGCGCGTGTGGGTTTGAGTTTGCTGATCCCTCTGACCCGCATCATGCCCTTCGCTGCAAGTATCAGTATGCACCTTCTCGGGTTCACGATGCGGTTAAATTTGTGGTGGCGAAGATAGCTAAGGGTGCGGGTGGGATTGTGACCATGGAAGACGACACGTTGCTCCCAGGGAAGAGGGTTGATGTGGCGGTTCGGAAACTGAGGGAGGGGGAGGAGCACGCGCTGGAGGTTAGTGTGGTAGATCCTATCTCGCTATCCGCGCAGCACCATGGACAGATTGGTCGCAAGGTGGGTTTTGCCGCGAGAGAGAGAGAAAAGCGGAAGACGGCGGACTACAAATCGCTTCTACAGCGGCATGGGGGAGTGCAGTTCACACCACTCATTGCTGAGACATGGGGATGCTTGGGGGGGAGTTTTGGACGGTGGCTTAAGAAGCAGGGTGACGCGCAGATCGAGATAGCAAAGACGAAAGGGGCGGCGCGAGCTACGGGAAAGGGTTTCTCGGCTTATTTGCTCGGATCGCTCAAAGCGGCTGTGGGTGTGGCTTTGCAACGGGCTCAGGCGCGTGTGATCTTGTTACGCGCTGCGTCGATGATGAGAGGCCCAGAGGCTGTTTGGGTGGAGCGGGAGGATGTTGAGGAGGAGATGGGATGGGATGCTCCGTGGGCGGATGCACCATACTTGGTAGACATGCGGGTTTAGAAAGTGGGTTTAGGGGGGGAGGTTTGGTTCGATGGGAGTGCAGTTGGGGTGCTTTGATGGGAGGGCTTGATGGTGTTTTAAATGTGTGTGCTATTGGGGTTTTCTTGGGGTTGTGTGTGCTGCTTTTTCTTCCTTCTTCCCTGTTTTTCTTCCTCCTATCATTTTTCCCCTATTCCCCTCCTTCTTTCTTCCTCTCTCCTTTTTTCTACTCACGTTATTCCTCCTTTTCTCCTCTCTTCCCGTTTCCACTCCTTTTCCTTGCGTAATTATGCTACATTGTAATAGATAGTACCTCGATTGCCATTTGGACCGTAAAATATATATATATATATATATATATATATATATATCATTTGTAGCTGGAAAATGAACAAGAGGCGACGAAATCGTCTTAGGGTTGCGAAGCAACACTTGAAACATGCGTTAGTTTTTTAAACGGCTTTGATTACCTTGATACGTCTAGAAGTGAGATGATTCATTCAATATTTACGGTTTTATGGGAATTTCAAGTTAATATATATATTTCTTTAATATCGACAGCACAATAATGCAGATGGTGTGTAAACATTGTAGGGCAGAAACCGAAACCCTCAATGGAAACGTTAGCATGAATACTTCTAGTTCTATATTCTATTTCTTCTCAATTGTTGTTGATGTAACATTTTGCAACTACACATTGTCGCGTGGCTTTTAAACGCGTGCAGTTTGGCTAACGTCAGCAGCATTGCAAGAAGTTACATGCGAGATTCATCGCGATGGCTGACGTCAGCAGCGATGTTTAAAATGTTGGAAACAATTGATTTAACACCTCTGTCGTGTCGGAACACGAAGCCACAAGCGAAGCGAAACATTTCAAAGCATCGGCGAGTCAACCCTCGGAGGTTGAACAACAGCTGAAGGTTACGCGAAAGTCAACGGTCAGCGACTTTTGACCTGACAAGTACAGCGCGACAGCAAGGACAAACTCTTGGGCTGAGAAAAGCCCTTAGAGGATCTTTGCAGGGGTGAACTCTGGGTAGGAATGGTGTAATAGTGAAAGCGTTTTAATGATAGAATTGTGGTCAGAATCACGAAGTGTTTGAAGTATGAGAAGATGGCAGTACAAGTATGAAACCCTAGAATTGTGTACCCCTAAAGGCTAACCCACTGTAGCCTACACAGCAATAACACATGTACAATGTTTGACACACCCCCATAGGCAAAGTGGGGGAGAGCAAGGGGTCACAAGACTAGTCAAGAAAGGCAAGCAAGCTCAGGGTGGATCACAACTGTCAAGATAGTAAGGACAGTGAGAAGCCACAGCTAGGGTTGACCTAGCTAGGCAAGCAAGAAATGAACAAAGGAGTTGTTGAACTAACAGAGAAATCAGTACAAATAGCAAACCCTAGAATTGTGTACCCCATACAGGCTAACCCACTGTAGCCTAACCAAACACAACATATACAATGTTCGACACACCCCCATAGGCAAAGTGGGGGAGAATGTCAAATGTTGTAGCCTATAGTGAGGTTTGTCTTAGGGGGTACAAAACTTAGGGTTAGCTATATGTACCCCAACCAACATCAATGCATCATCCATTCCTCATTCTGACATGGTATCAGTTAGGTTAGGATCCTGTGGGATCCCGTTCCTCCGTTCTCCGTTCGTATCTCCCGAGCCTGATCCTACCTCTCGTTCGTACCGGTTCCGTTGTTACCGCGCCTAGTGCCGAGCCTAGCGCCCTTCCCCCCGTCGCCTAGCGCCCTTTCCCCCCCGTCACGTCGCGCCCTTTTCCCCCGTTGCGTCGCGCCCGTTCCCCCCCGTCGAGTCGCGCCCTTTCCCCCCGTCGCGTCGCGCTCTTTCCCCCCGTCGCGTCGCGCCCTTTCCCACCGTCGCGTCGCGCCCTTTCCCCCCGTCACGTCGCCCTGCCCCGTCCCGTTGCCCCTGCCCCGTCCCGTCGCCCTGCCCCGTCCCGTCCCGTCGCCCCGTCCCGTCCCGTCGCCCCTGCCCCGTCCCGTCCCCGTCCCGTCCCGTCCCGTCGCCCCTGCCCCGTCCCGTCCCCGTCCCGTCCCGTCCCGTCCCGTCCCGCGGCCCTGCCCCGTCCCGTCCCGTCGCCCCGTCCCGTCCCGTCGCCCCTGCCCCGTCCCGTCCCCGTCCCGTCCCGTCGCCCTGCCCCGTCCCGTCGCCCCGTCCCGTCTCCCTACCCCGTCGCGTCGCCCTCCCCCGTCGCGTCGCCCTGCCCCGTCGCATCGTGCCCGCCCTTTCCCCCGTCCCGTCGACCCTACGCCCTGGCCCGTCGCTCTAGCCCGCTCTTCCGCTGCGACTAAGTCCCACCTGAACCCTAATTTGCCTCTTACCTCCTGCTGTTACTCGCCTGCTCGTTCGCGTTAGTTTTCGCTATGGCGACTCCGCGAGTTCTTCGTTTCGACGCTGACGGCAGACCTCTTGACTTTTCCGTCTGGCTCCTTCGCGCTCGCCGTCTGTTAGAGAGTCAAGTCCAGGGGGGCGAGACCCTCTGGTCGCACGCTACTGGTGACCTCCCCGAGCCCCCCGAGCCTGCCGCTTTAGGTCCTGCCCCTGACGATGCTGCTACGGCTCGCTTTGCCCGTCAGCGCGCTGACAGGACGGCTTGGACGTCGCGTGACGCTGCGGCCTGCATCGCACTCAGCAGCCTCCTCCCTGAGTCAGAGGAGGTCCACTTCACTCAGGTTCGCACCGCTGCTGCGTACCTCACTGCGATTAAGGCCCGCTACTCTACTCCCGCTACTGTCTCTCTTGGCCGTCTTTTCCTCCCGTTCCTGTTTCCTGATCTCGCCTCGTTTGAGCGCTCTGCTGACTTGATCGCTCACCTCCGCTCGCTCGACGCTAGTTACCGCGCTGCTTGCACTGAGGCACAGCTTGCACTGCTTCCTCCCCCCATGGCGATTACTATCTATTTCATCGCCACTAGCCTCCCTGACCGCCTTGCCTCCGTACGTGACGCGCTCCTGCTGAAGCACCCTAGTGAGCTGACAGTTGAGGTCCTTGAGTCTGCGCTCAAGGACGTCGAGAGCAACCTTCGCTCGGTAGCTGCCGCCTCTGGTGCTGTGCCCCCCCCACTCTTCCACGGGTGCACGGTCCCGCAGTTACCCACCTTCACTGCCTCTCTTGCCACTGCCGCTACTGACGCGACTGCAGCTGCTGTTACGACTGCGTCGCGGTCCCGCGGCAAGGGGGGCAAGAAAGGTGGTTCTGGTGGAGGTGGAGGCGGAGGTAGCGGAGGTAGTGGGGGTGCTGTTGCGACTGGCGGTGGTGGGAGTGCAGCGTCTGGAGAGACCTCTCGTGCAGCGGCTGGTGACTCCACTGCGCCTGCTGGTGGTGGCGACACCCGAGCTCGTCAGTCGTCTCCTGTACTGCCGGCCCCGCTAGGTGGAGCAGCGGCGTGGTACCAGGCTCAGCGTCAGCAGCGGCTTCAGCAGCAGCAGCAGCCCCTCTCCTCCCAGCAGCCTCAGCAGCAGCAGCGTCAGCAGCTGGCTCCGGGGTCGGGGCTGCGTCAGCCCCAGCGTGGTGCTGCTTACCCTCCCTGCACCTATCAGGTTCTGACAGGTCCTCGTCGGGGCCACCCTTGTGGCCGCTTTCACCCCCCTGGTCAGTGCTTTGCTCAGCTCACTGACACGGTCCGGTTGGCCTACGGGGTTGGCGGTCCTGCCCTTGACTGGCTTCCTCTGGTTCAGCGCTACGGCTCCGCTCTGTGGGGCATGTCTGCTGAGCAGTTAGTTGATCTGATTGGTGCTCCTCATGCTATGTATGCTGTTGTTGACTCTAGTGTTTCTGACTCTGCTTACTCTGGTGTTGTTAGCTTAGGTGCTAGCCTTGCTCAGTTGCCTGTTGCTAGTGTAGGTTCTTGTGTAGACTCTAGTCCAGCGGCTACCTCAGAGGACGGTTCGCTGTCGTTCACGCTGGACTCTGGAGCCTCTCACTGCTTCTTTCGTGACAGCACGACACTTACGCCTCTTCCTGCGCCTGTTTCTGTGGCGCTGGCTGATCCCACTTCGGGACCAGTCACCGCGCGTCACACTACCACCTTGCCGTGTCCGGCTGCTCCTTCTGGGTCTCTCACTGGGTTTCACGTCCCCTCGTTCTCCCGGAACTTGGTGGGCGTGCGACCCCTTGTGAGTCAGCACGTGGGTGTGTGGTTTGAGCCTTCTGGAGAGACTGCGGTGTGTGTTGACGGGGACTCTTACCAGCCTCTCGCCACTTTTGCTGCTGAGCCGGGCTCCGGTCTCTACACTCTTCACACTGGCCCGCGCGCTCAGCAGCGACTGCAGCAGCAGCAGCAGCAGCCTCAGCAGCGGCAGCAGCAGCAGCCGCAGCCACAGCGGCCGCCGTCGCAGCAGCCACTCCTCCCAGTTCCTGTCCCTCCCCCTAGTCTCCTCCCTGCGTCTCACCAGGTGGTTCCGTCCCCTCAGGTTGTCGCGTCCAGTCCAGTCGCTGCGTCTTGCTCCTGTCGGTCGCTTGCCCACCCCACCGTTCTGTGGCACCACCGGATGGGACACCCTTCTCTTCCACGTCTGCGTGCTATGTCTAGTCAGCGTCTGGTCTTAGGTCTCCCGCGTGTCTTGCCGTCGCTGCCGCCGTCCCTTGCACCACCGTGCGGTCCTTGCGTCGAGGGTAGGCTGCGTGCCACCCCTCACTCCTCCTCCCTTCGTCCGGCCACCGAGCCTTTTGAGACGCTGCACTTGGACGTCTGGGGCCCCTCTCCTTGCCCTGGCCCTGAGCGTGAGCGTTTCTTTTTGGTGGTCGTTGACGACTACTCCCGCTATACCACAGTGTTCCCCCTGGCGAGGAAGTCTGAGGTGACTTCTACGCTGATCAGGTGGTTGCTTACCACCCAGGACACTCGTGGTCGTCGTGTCAGCTGTCTCCACTCCGACCGCGGGGGCGAGTTTCGCTCCGGCATTCTCGCTGGATTCTGTCGCGAACAGGGCATTCGTCAGTCCTGGACGCTTCCGGAGTCCCCACAGCAGAATGGGGTTGCTGAGCGTCGCATAGGCCTGGTCATGGAGATTGCCCGCACCTCCTTGACTCACGCCCGTGCCCCCCATTTCCTGTGGCCATACGCAGTCAGGTACGCCGCGCACCAGCTGAACCTCTGGCCACGCGTCTCTCGGCCGGAGGCTTCACCGACCAGTCTTTGGACAGGGTCCCCTGGTGTCGCGTCGAGGTTTCGTGTCTGGGGGTGCTTGGCTCTTGTCCGCGACACCTCCGCGGACAAGCTCTCGCCTCGCGCCGTTCCTTGTGTCTTCCTTGGTTTCCCTGAGGACTCCTCTGACTTCACCTTTTACCACCCTCCCTCTCACCGGTTCTTTGACTCCCGTGACGTCCGTTTCGAGGAGTCCACCCCGTACTACGTCAGGTACCCCAGTCGAGGTCTCCCGGTTCCTCCTCCCCCCCTCTTCCTGACAGCCGCTCCCCCGCCTGCTCCCCCGGTACAGCCTCCCCCCCTGGTCCAGCCCCGTCTGGTGTGTCTCAGGCCAGCCCTCCCCCTTCGGTAGCCCCCCCTGTACAGCCTCCCTCCCCACAGTCTTCCTTGCCGCCTCCTGCAGGTGCTCCCTCTCGGGAGGTTGGTCCTGCGACTGTCCCTGTACAGGTCTCTGATCTGGGGGTGCTGGTGCGGAGCTGAGCCGCGGGTTGCAGAGGACTCTTGTCTTCCGGGGGCTGGTACTGGTCGTGCGGAGTCTGGGGGTGCTGGTGCGGAGTCTGGGGGTGCTGCGTCTGGGGGTGAGGGTGTCCCTTCGGTTTCTGGAGAGCCTGGGTCTGGAGCTGGTGTTGGTGCTGCCTCTGGGGGTGGTGTGCTTGGTGCTTCGGAGGTCGACTCTGGGGCTGCCGCTGCCCCGGACACTACTCCTTCCCCCCACCCCTACCCGACCAGGTTCCAGGCTCGTGTTCGCCGTGCTCGTGAGGAGCAGCTGGAGTTGGAGAGAGAGGAGAGAGAGTTGCAGCGGCTCGAGGAGCAGGAGCGACAGCAGCAGGAGCAGCAGCAGGAGCAGCAGCAGAGGCAGCAGCCGCTGGAGCAGCAGCAGCCACAGCAGCCGCAGCAGCAGCAGCAGCAGCAGCAGCAGCAGCAGCAGCTGCTGCCGTCTCCTCCTCCTGTCTCGGGTCTTCGGACCCTTGGTCTCCCGTCTCCCTCTCCTTCCTCCTCCCCCTCTCCTCCCGTCTCTGGTCCTCCGCTTCCTCCTCCTGACCCCTCTCCCGCTGTTTTCCCTCGTTCTCAGTCTTCGTTGTCTCCTCCTCCTTCTCAGACTTGGGCCTCTCGTCGCTCCCCTCGTGCTCGTCCCTCGTCTCCTGTTCCCTTCACTGACCTTCGTACAGCCTTCCTTTGTTCTCGTCCACCTCGTCCGTCTCCGTCTGTGCTTCCGTCTCCTCCTGAGTCGGCCCTCACTGTGTCGCTTCCTTCTCCTGTCACTGACTACTACCGCACGTACCGTCCTGTTCTCTCTCGTGTTCTCGCCTCTCTTGTTACCCACCCTCGTGCCTCTGTGTCCTCTGTGTCCGCTCTTACTGCCGCAGTCACTGAGTTTGCCTCTACCCGCCGCCTTGACTTCGCCACCGCTCTTGTGGCAGCTCCTCCTTCCAGTCCTCTGGCCGTTGGGGGTGTGTCTGCCCTTGGCTGTGACGCCCTAGAGGACAGGCAGTTTGAGCTAGAGTTCCTGGCGGCCGCTTCCCCTCATCTCTGTGCCATGCTCCTCGCCCCTGAGGGTGACCCCGACGCCCTTGACATTCCCACTCCTCGCACTTACGCTGAGGCAGTGTCAGGGCCTTGGGCCTCTCAGTGGAGAGCTGCCATGGACGCAGAGATGGCCTCCTACAGATCCACAGGCACCTACGTCGATGAGGTTCCCCCTCCGGGGGCGAACGTAGTCGACGGCATGTGGATCTACAGGGTGAAGCGGCCACCGGGATCTCCTCCGGTCTTCAAGGCGCGCTACGTGGCTAGAGGTTTCAGTCAGCGCGAGGGAGTTGACTTCTTTCAGACCTTCGCGCCCACCCCGAAGATGACCACTCTTCGGGTGTTACTACACGTAGCAGCACAGAGAGACTACGAGTTACACTCTCTCGACTTCTCTACTGCTTTCCTTCAGGGCAGTCTTCACGAGGAGGTCTGGTTGCGTCGTCCCTCTGCCTTCACTGGCTCTTTCCCTCCTGGGACCCAGTGGAGGCTGAGGCGACCGGTTTACGGTCTTCGTCAGGCTCCTCGTGAGTGGCACGACACCCTGCGTTCTACCCTGTCTGACCTTGGGTTCCAGCCGTCTTCTGCTGACCCGTCGCTGTTCGTTCGTCGTGGCCCCACACCTTTCTTTGTTCTGGTCTACGTTGACGACCTTGTTTTCGCCACCCCTGACAGGGTTGCTTTGGCACACGTGAAGTCCGAACTGCAGAAGAGACACACCTGCACTGATCTTGGTGAGCTGCGCCACTACCTTGGCCTGCAGATCACCAGGGACAGAGCTGCTCGCACCATTACACTTTCACAGTCGCACATGGTGCAGCAGGTCCTTCAGCGGTTCGGGCTTCAGCACTCCACAGTACAGCGCACACCTCTTGCTGTTGACCACAGACTCACTGGACCCTTTCCTGACGAGCCGTTCGAGCCTAGTGGTCCCTACGCTGAGCTTGTGGGTTGCCTCATGTACCTGATGACTTGTACTCGCCCGGACCTCGCCTTCCCTCTCAGCGTTCTTGCGCGCTTTGTTGCGCCAGGGAGACACCGTCCTGTTCACTGGACAGCAGCTGTGAGGGTGGCGAAGTACCTAGCGACGACGTCAGGCGTGGGGCTAGTTCTTGGAGGGCAGCAGTCTGTCGTACTTACTGGTCACTGTGACTCCTCTTACGCTGACGACGCTGAGACTCACAGGTCTACTCAGGGGTACTGTTTCAGCCTGGGTTCTGGAGCTGTTTCCTGGCGGTCCACGCGCTCCTCTTCGGTCTCGACCTCTACAGCTGAGGCTGAGATCTACGCTGGTGCCATGGCGGCACAGGAGCTGCGTTGGTTGACCTTCTTGCTCACCGACCTTGGTGAGCGGCCGAGCTCTGCACCGACCTTGTTCACTGACAACAAGGCGTCTATTCTCCTTTGTCGAGAGCCACGACTGGAGAGCAGAGTGAAGCACATTCACGTCAGGTACTTTCTTCTGCGAGAGTTGCAGAGGCGTGGACAGGCTCGCTTTGAGTTTGTGGAGTCCGAGGCCAACACTGCAGACATCTTCACCAAGGCGCTTCCGCCTTGTGACCACCAGAGGTGCTGTGTGCAGTTAGGCCTTGTTGACACTGGTTCTCGTGTTGCTTAGGCTTGAGTGTACTGTTTACTTTGCTTTCTATATACCTCTGTTACTTCTTGGACTGGCCTTGTGGCCACTGTTGTTTGTGCTCAGACTGTGTGGTGACGTTGTGATCCACCCTGAGCTTCGTTTCTTGGACTGGTCTTGTGACCGTACTCGTTTGGTTCTGCTAGACACCCCTCACTTAGGCTATGGGGGTGTGTCAAATGTTGTAGCCTATAGTGAGGTTTGTCTTAGGGGGTACAAAACTTAGGGTTAGCTATATGTACCCCAACCAACATCAATGCATCATCCATTCCTCATTCTGACAGAGAAATAGGGGTCACAAGACCAGTCAGGGCAAAGCAAGGCAAAACAAGCTCAGGGTGGATCACGAGGATTCCACACAAATTCCGAGCACAAGCAAGTGGTCACAAGACCAGTTCACATACAGGTTTATAATAGAGCAAGAGGTACAATGATCACAACCTAGCAAGAGTAAACATGCAGGTATATATATAGAGATCACAGTACACACAGAGTCAAGAAGTAAGTAAGTGAGGTCCAGTAGGCACAAGGCCTAGAAGAGTGCAAAAACGCTGATGGTCACAAGGCTGAAGCGCCTTGGTGAACACATCAGCAGTGTTGGCCTCAGTGGCCACGTAACGAAGACGAAGCTGGCCGCGCTGCTGCAGCTCTCGAGCAAGGAAGTACCGCAGGGCGATGTGCTTCGTTCTGTGCTCGAGTCTGTGCTCCTCACACAAGGCAATGGCAGCCTTGTTGTCGACGTACAGCACTGGAGGAGAACGAGGTCGCTCTCCCAGGTCGGTCAGCAGGTAGGTCAGCCAGCGTAGCTCCTGGGCCGCCATGGCTGTGGCGTAGATCTCAGCCTCACAACTGGAGCTGAGAACAGAAGAAGAACGCGTAGAGCGCCAAGAGACAGAGCCAGAGCCAAGGCTGAAAGTGTAACCTTGAGACGACCGCTGAGTAGCCTGGTCGTCCGCCCAAGAAGCGTCTGAGTGTCCAGTGAGCACAACTCGGTCTCGCCCTCCAAGCACTAGCCCCATGCCCGACGTACTGCACAAATAGCGCAACACCCTCTTAGCAGCATCCATGTGCTCCTTCCTGTGACGGCCAGGAGCGACATAGCGTGCAAGGATGCTAAGAGGGTATGCAAGGTCAGGTCGAGTGCAGGTCATCAGGTACATGAGGCAGCCCACAAGCTCTGGATACGGGCCACTCGGCTCTACGGACTCATCCGAAGGCAGAGCTGAGAGCGAGTGACCGGTAGGCAGAGGAGTGGACTGAGGCGAGGAGTACGTGAAGCGGAAGCGCTGGAGAACCTGCTGCACCATGTGTGACTGAGTCAGGGTGATGGTGCGCCGTGCTCTGTCCCGGGTGATCCGCAAGCCAAGATAGCTTGTCAGCTCACCCAGGTCTGTGCACGTGTGTCTCCTCTGCAGCTCCGACTTCACGTAGGCGAGTCCCGCAATGTCAACAGTGGCAAAGACCAGGTCGTCGACGTACACTAGGATGTAGAACGGCGACAGCGAAGTGTCGGTGCGCAGAAACAGCGACGGGTCAGCAGTAGAAGGCGCGAACCCAAGAGCCGCAAGTGTAGTCCTCAGTGTGTCGTGCCACTCACGTGGAGCCTGCCGGAGACCGTAGACTGGCCGCTGAAGCCTCCACTGGGTACCAGGAGGAAACGACCCAGTGAAGCCAGGAGGGCGGCGCAGCCAGATCTCCTCGTGTAGGCTGCCCTGCAAGAAAGCAGTGCTGAAGTCAAGTGAGTGAAGCTCGTAGTCGTGCTGAGCGGCTATGTGCAGCAGCACCCGAAGAGTCGTCATCTTCGGGGTGGGGGAGAAGGTATGAAAGAAGTCTACTCCCTCTCGCTGACTGAAGCCTCGAGCAACGTAGCGCGCCTTGAAGACAGGAGGAGAACCCGGTGGCCGCTTCACCCTGAAAATCCACATGCCACTGACGATGTTCGCCCCAGGTGGGGGAACCTCGTCGATGTAGGTGCGTGTGGACTTCCAGGAAGCCATCTCTGCGTCCATGGCTGTCTGCCACTGAGAGGAGTAGGGACCCGCCATCGCCTCAGCGTAAGAGCGCGGGGTCGGGATGTCTGGTGCATCCGGGTCTCCCTCAGGGGCAACTAGCATGGACACGAGATGGGGCAAAGCAGCAGCAAAGCACTGGAACTCCTCCTGTCTGTCCTCAAGGACGTCCGTGCCAAGAGCACACTCACCCCCGACGGACGGAGGACAGACAGACGCAGACTCAGACTCAGCAACAAGGCTAGCAGCGTAGTCTAGGCGACACCGAGCAGCAAAGTCAACCAACTCAGCGACCAGAGCAGACGCAGCGGCGGACTCAAAGGTAGGGTCAGTGACAACGGTGGCGAGGAGACGCGTGACAGTGGGACTGGCAGCACGACGGGAGTCAGACTCCGGGTCAGGAAGAGTAGGTAGAGAGGACGCAGGAGGAGACGGTAGGGGGACACGCTGAGGAGCAGTGGAGGGACGCAGAGTCATGTAGTGAGTGCCAGGGACAGGAGGAGGACGCTCACGCGGGACATGACAACCAGGACAAGCAGTACAAACAGGCGACGCTGGACGAGACTCAGGCTGACGACGCTCTGTAAGGCCTCCTGTGGGACCAGTGTAAGGAGAGGGACCAAGAAGAGGCGAGGCAGGCGGGAACTGTGACTGCGACTGGACAGGCGGAGGACACTCTACGGAGGGAGGAGGACAAGGAGGAGGAGCCTGACCAAGAACCTGCTGAAGGAGCGGTACAAAGTACGGTCGCGGCCGCGCAGCGTCTCGAGAACCAGCAGGGACAGCAGCGCCAGGGTCCTCAGCACCAGCAGCAGCTCCACCGCCCGAGTCCTCAGCACCAGCAGCAGCTCCACCGCCCGGGTCCTCAGTACCAGTAGCAGCTCCACCGTCCGGGTCCACAGCACCAGCAGCAGCTCCACCGCCCGGGTCCTCAGCACCAGCAGCAGCTCCACCGCCCGAGTCCTCAGCACCAGCAGCAGCTCCACCGCCCGGGTCCTCAGTACCAGCAGCAGCTCCACCGTCCGGGTCCACAGCACCAGCAGCAGCTCCACCGGCCGGGTCCTCAGCACCAGCAGCAGCTCCACCGCCCGGGTCCTCAGCACCAGCAGCAGCTCCACCGCCCGGGTCCTCAGCACCAGCAGCAGCGCCACCTCTCGGGTCCTCAGTACCAGCAGCAGCTCCAACGTCCGGGTCCGCAGCACCAGGAGCACCACTCCTAAGACTGCAGCGCCTCGTGTACCACTCTTGAATCTGCTGGAGGGGGGGGAGCTCCCGGGCAGGAGGGGAAGCACCGCTACCAGCTCCAGCAGGACCTCTCCGGAGGCGGCAGTACTGTAGGTACCTCTCCTGCAGCTGCTGGGAGGAGAGAGCTCCTCCAGGTGTAGCACGCTCAGGCTCAGCACCTCCAGACTCAGCACCCCCAGACTCAGTACTCCCAGGCTCAGCACCCCCAGGCTCAGCACCCCCAGGCTCAGCACCCCCAGGCTCAACACCCCCAGGCTCAGCACCCCCAGACTCAGCACCCCCAGGCTCCGCACCCACAGGCTCAGCACCCTCAGGCTCCTCACGCTCAGGCTCAGGACCTCTAGCAGGACGGGAGTCAACAGCTACCTCGACAGGGTCAACCGGGTCTACCTGGGACACACCTGAGGGAGCGGCACCCTGAGGGGGGAGGGGGTCTACCACAGCAGCACCTGGTGCGAGGAAGAGAGGCGGGGGGGGGGAGCGGGGCAGTGCGGTAGGGGAAGAGGCGGTAGAAGGGGACGGACTCGTCAAAAGTGACGTCCTGAGAAGGCAGAACCCGGCGCGAGGTGACGTGGTAAAACTGCCAGCCAGGCGCGTCCGGGACAAAGCCAAGGAAGACACAGGGGACAGCGCGACGGGAGAGCTTGTCCGCGGACGTGTCGCGAACAAAAGCTCGGGATCCCCAGACCCGAAAACGCGACGCATCGCCAACCTCTCCCGTCCACCGCAGAGTCGGGGAAGTCTCCGGCAAGGAGACACGGGGCCAGAGGTTGAGCTGATGCGCAGCGTATCGGACTGCAAACGGCCACAGAAAGTGGGGAGCAGCCGCATGGATCAGGGAGGTACGAGCGATCTCCATGACCAAGCCAATGCGGCGCTCAGCAACCCCATTCTGCTGTGGAGAGGCCGGAAGCGTGAACGACTGCTCAATGCCGTGCTCAGCACAGTAGGCTGCCAAGAGGTCGGAGGAGAACTCACCACCTCTGTCAGAGTGCAAGCGCAGGACAGGAAAGTCCGAGTGGAAACGCTCGCTGAGCTGGAGACGAGCTCTGCGGATCCAAGGGATCAAAACATCAGGGACCTCACCCTTGGTGCGCAAGGGGAAGACCGTGGTGTAGCGCGAGTAGTCGTCAACAACTATCAGGAAGTACCTCTCCTGACCCTGACCACGGACGCGGGCTGGGCCCCATACGTCCATGTGGAGCGTCTGCAAGGGAGCAGTCATCGGGGGAAAGGAGGAGGAGTGAGGAGCGGCGCGCTGCCGCCCCTCGACACAGGGAAGACAGGGAGGAGCAGGCGAGGGTGGGAGGGGAGGGAGAACCCTGGGAAGACCAGAGACAAGCTGCCGTTTGTGCATGGCGCGAAGGCGCTGCACAGACGGGTGGCCAAGTCGGTGGTGCCAGAGGACAGTGTCGTGCGCCAGAGAGCGACACGAGCAGGGGGCAGACAGCTGACCTGACGCAGACGCAGACGCAGACGCAGACGCAGCTACCTGAGGGGACTCAGTGGTCAGTGTGTACAAGTCCGACCCCGGCTGCCGAGTGAAGGTAGCCAGGTGACGGCCCGTCCGAGCACACGTGCAGTGTGTCACGCGCTCGTAGGCAGGGGTGAACTGGTGAACACCCGCGTCCTGGAGCGCACAACCCGCCACCAAGTTCGTAGAGAACGAGGGGAGGTGGAGACCAGACAGTGTGCCCGACGGGACCGCAGGACAGGGAAGAACAGTGGAGGAGGTCGCAATGACCGGACCCCCAGAGGGGTCAGCGAGGGAGACAGCAACTGGCCGAGCAAGTGGCTCAAGGGCAGTGCGGTCACGAAAGAAACAGCGAGAAGCACCTGAGTCCAGGGTGAAGGTGTGCAGTGCCTCAGTCGACTCAGTACCAGCGGGGACAGACTCACTGGCACCTAGGGCGGCAGCCTCACCATCACCTGAGGTGGCAGACACGCGAGCACCTGCAGTGGCGGTCTCACTAGCACCTAGAGCGGCAGCCTCACTCACACTACACGGCAGCTGCACCGGTCCGCGACCAGAAGCTCCCGAACGACGCACTCCAGAGTGACTACCACGACCACCACCCCGAGAGCCCAAACTAGCGTACCACTCACGAGCTCGCTGGAGCGTAAGAGGACACTGCTGCTGCACCTGTCCACTACCAGATGCTCCCGAACAACGCACGCCAGAGCGACTACCACTACGGCCACCCCGACAGCCCAAACTAGCGTACCACTCACGGGCCCGCTGGAGCGTAAGAGGACACTGCTGCTGCACCTGTCCACTACCAGATGCTCCCGAACGACGCACTCCAGAGCGACTACCACGACGGCCACCCCGACAGCCTAAACTAGCGTACCACTCACGAGCCTGCTGGAGCGTGAGGGACTCACGCGCACGGTCCTGGAGCTGCATCTTGTCACGTCAGGAACAGTAGCAGCAGGGGCAGTAACAGCAGGAGCAGTGACAGTGGGAGTAGCAGCAGTAGCAGTGCTGGCAGGGGAGTGCTCACCAGTGGTCGGCGGGGCAGGCGCAAGGCGGAGGTGACAGCGGGGCCGCTGCAACTGCAGAGCGAGGCCAGGCCGCAGTAGGGAGCTCCGCGGCAGCTGCTCGAGATGCCAGGGGCGGCTGCTGCAGGGACCGGGGCAGCAGTGACGGCAGCGCCAACTGCGGCAGGCTCGGCGGTGGCCGCTGCTGCAGGGCTAGTGGCGGTAGCAGTTGCCGTCCCAGCGGCGGCAGCTGCTGCAGGTACGGTGGCGGCAGCGGCTGCAGAGTCGGCGGCGGCAGCTGATGCAGGGTCGGCGGCGGCAGCTGATGCAGGGTCGGCGGCGGCAGTTGTTGCAATCGCAGCGGCGGCAGCTGCAGCAGCGCCCCAAAACCCTAAAACGGGTGGGATAGGGGCAGGAGCGCGGGGGATGGTGAGGGGGGGGACGGCGCGCGACCCCCAAGGCGCCAGAACGGTCGGGTGGGTGGGTGGAGGGGGGGTGGCGCGCGCTGCTGCCCAAGGCGCCGCGACGGACGGGTGGGAGGGATGCGCGCGCGACCCCCGAGGGCGCCGCGACGGCAAGGCGGGGCGCGCGTGGGCTCCCAATGGCGCCGCGACGACCGGGCGGGGCGCTCGCGGGCTCCCCAGTGCGTCGCGACGGACGGGCGGGGGGTTCGCGGGCTCCTTAGGGCGTCGCGACGGACGGGCGGGGCGCTCGCGGGCTCCCCAGGGCGTCGCGACAGACGGGCGGGGCGCGCTCGGGCGGCTAGCGGGTCGCGCGCGCTAAAGAGAAAGCGGGCCGCGCGCGGGTGGCTAGCAGGCCGTGCGTGCGCGGTAGGGAGAGGCGCACGAGGGCGCAAGAGCGCACGAGGGCGCGGGGGCGCACGAGGGCGCGCGGTAGTAAGAGGCGCACGAGGGCGCGAGGGCGCACGAGGGGTAGGTAGGTAGGTAGGTAACGGTGGGCCCTAAAACGGTCCTAGTGAAGGACCTGCTCTGATACCATGTCAAGATAGTAAGGACAGTGAGAAGCCACAGCTAGGGTTGACCTAGCTAGGCAAGCAAGAAATGAACAAAGGAGTTGTTGAACTAACAGAGAAATCAGTACAAATAGCAAACCCTAGAATTGTGTACCCCATACAGGCTAACCCACTGTAGCCTAACCAAACACAACATATACAATGTTCGACACACCCCCATAGGCAAAGTGGGGGAGAACTAGGGGTCACAAGACCAGTCAGGGCAAAGCAAGGCAAAACAAGCTCAGGGTGGATCTCGAGGATTCCACACAAATTCCGAGCACAAGCAAGTGGTCACAAGACCAGTTCACATACAGGTTTATAATAGAGCAAGAGGTACAATGATCACAACCTAGCAAGAGTAAACATGCCTTTGCGCTCTCCCTTCCCGTCCTGTTGCCTTCGATCTCTCACCACCGTCCCTTCCCGTCGCCCTCATTCTCTCCCTTTCCCGTCCCCTCGCCTTCTCGCGCTCCCCTCCCGTCCCGTCGCCTTCGCTCTCTCCCCTCCCTTGCCGTCGCCCTTGCTCTCTCCCCTCTCTTTCCATCGCCCTTGCTCTCTCCCATCCCTTTCCGTCGCCCTTGCTTTCTCCCCTCCCTTTCCGTCGCCCTCACTCTCTCCCCTCCCTTTCCGTCGCCCTTGCTCTCTCCCCTCACTTTCCGCCGCCTTCACTTTCTCCCCTCCCTTTGTGTCGCCCTTGCTCTCTCCCATCCCTTTCCGTCACCCTTGCTCTCTCCCCTACCTTTCCGTCGCCCTCGCTCTCTCCCCTCTCTTTCCGTCGCCCTTGCTCTCTCCCCTCCTTTTCCGTCGCCCTTGCTCTCTCCCCTCCTTTTCCGTCCTTGCTCTCTCCCATTCCTTTCGGTCACCCTTGCTCTCTCCCCTCCCTTTACGTCGCCCTTACTCTCTTCCCTCCCTTTTAGTTGCCCTCGCTCCACCTCATCTCACCCTCCCCAATGCCCCTCCCATCTCCCTATCATTCAGCGGATTTTGCGCACGCATCTTTCCTCTCACGTCCTCGTTTCTGTTGCACTTTCTGTCTCATCTCGAGACACCCCCCTTTCTCTGTTTTTCGCCTCTTGTTATTCACGTGTTGTTTTTGCCGCCCGGACAGGCCCGTGTCTAAGGCCTTTGCTTTGTGTGGGTTGGACTTTCTTTGCATGGGTTGGACATGCTTCACGATGTGAATTTGGCATTGAATGTAAATGAGATTTGCAGTCGCAAACTATCGAGCGACGCACTTGCACATGCTTGCGACAATTTTTGTTTGAGAATAAATTTGGAGACTCGATCAGTATCATTTGTAGCTGGAAAATGAACAAGAGGCGACGAAATCGTCTTAGGGTTGCGAAGCAACACTTGAAACATGCGTTAGTTTTTTTAAACGGCTTTGATTACCTTGATACGTCTAGAAGTGAGATGATTCATTCAATATTTACGGTTTTATGGGAATTTCAAGTTAATATATATATTTCTTTAATATCGACAGCACAATAATGCAGATGGTGTGTAAACATTGTAGGGCAGAAACCGAAACCCTCAATGGAAACGTTAGCATGAATACTTCTAGTTCTATATTCTATTTCTTCTCAATTGTTGTTGATGTAACATTCTGCAACTACACATTGTCGGGTGGCTTTTAAACGCGTGCAGTTTGGCTAACGTCAGCAGCATTGCAAGAAGTTACATGCGAGATTCATCACGATGGCTGACGTCAGCAGCGATGTTTAAAATGTTGGAAACAATTGATTTAACACCTCTGTCGTGTCGAAACACGAAGCCACAAGCGAAGCGAAACATTTCAAAGCATCGGCGAGTCAACCCTCGGAGGTTGAACAACAGCTGGAGGTTACGCGAAAGTCAAAGGTCAGCGACCTTTGACCTGACAAGTACAGCGCGACAGCAAGGACAAACTCTTGGGCTGAGAAAAGCCCTTAGAGGATCTTTGCAGGGGTGAACTCTAAGTAGGAATGGTGTAATAGTGAAAGCGTTTTAATGATAGAATTGTGTGTCAGAATCACGAAGTGTTTGAAGTATGAGAAGATGGCAGTACAAGTATGAAACCCTAGAATTGTGTACCCCCTAAAGGCTAACCCACTGTAGCCTACACAGCAATAACATGTGTACAATGTTTGACACACCCCCATAGGCAAAGTGGGGGAGAGCAAGGGGTCACAAGACCAGTCAAGAAAGGCAAGCAAGCTCAGGGTGGATCACAACGTCACCACACATTCAGAGCACAAGCAAAAAGCCACAAGGCCAGTTCACATGCAGAGACATATATGTAGCACAAACATCACAGTGATCTATATCTAGCAAGCATGCAGGTATATATATATATAGATCACAGTACAGGCAAAGTCTACAACAAGTGAGGAAAAGTGGGCACAAGCCCTAACAAAGTGCAGAAACGCTGATGATCACTAGGCGGAAGTGCCTTGGTGAATATATCAGCAGTGTTGGCCTGAGTGGCCACGTAACGCAGACGAAGCTGACCACGTCGCTGCAACTCTCGAGCCAAAAGTACCGCTGAGCGATGTGCTTCGTTCTGTGCTCCAGTCTGTGCTCCTCACACAAGGCAATGGCAGCCTCGTTGTCAACGTACAGCACTGGAGGAGAACGAGGCCGCTCTCCAAGGTCGGTCAGCAGGTAGGTGAGCCAGCGTAACTCCTGAGCAGCCATGGCTGTGGCGTAGATCTCAGCCTCACAACTGGAGCTGAGAACTGAAGACGAACGTGTAGAACGCCAAGAAACTGAGCTAGAGCCAAGACTGAAGGTGTAACCCTGTGACGACCGCTGTGTAGCCTGGTCGTCAACCCAAGAAGCGTCTGAGTGCCCAGTGAGAACAACTGGGCTCCCTCCTCCAAGCACGAGCCCCATGCCTGATGTACTGCACAAGTAGCGCAGTACCCTCTTTGCAGCATCCCAGTGCACCTTTCGGTGCCTGCCAGGAGCCACGTAGCGGGCCAGAAGGCCAAGAGGGTACGCTAGGTCAGGACGAGTGCAAGTCATCAGGTACATGAGGCAGCCCACTAGCTTTGGGTAAGGACCACTCGGCTCTACGGACTCATCCGAAGGCAGAGCTGAGAGCGAGTGACCTATAGCCAAAGGAGTGGCCTGTGCTCAGGACCAAGTGAAGCCGAAGCGCTGAAGGACCTGCTGCACCATGTGTGACTGAGTCAGTGTGATGGTGCGGCGTGCTCTGTCCCGGGTGATCTGCAAGCCAAGGTAGCTGCGCAGTTCACCCAGGTCTGTGCACGTGTGTCTCTTCTACAGTTCGGACTTCACGCGGGCGAGAGCCCCAGTGTCAGCAGTGGCAAAGACCAAGTCGTCGTCGTACACGAGGATGTAGAACGGCGGCAGCGAAGTGTCGGTGCGCAGAAACAGCGACGGGTCAGCAGTAGAAGGCGCGAACCCAAGAGCCGCAAGTGTAGTCCTCAGTGTGTCGTGCCACTCACGTGGCGCCTGGCGGAGACCGTAGACCGGCCGGCGGAGGCTCCACTGGGTACCAGGAGGAAACGACCCAGTGAAGCCAGGAGGGCGGCGCAGCCAGATCTCCTCGTGCAGGCTGCCCTGCAAGAAAGCTGTGCTGAAGTCAAGAGAGTGAAGCTCGTAGTCACGCTGAGCGGCAACGTGCAGCAGTACCCGAAGAGTGGTCATCTTCGGGGTGGGGGAGAAGGTCTGGAAGAAGTCGACCCCCTCTCGCTGACTGAAGCCTCGGGCAACGTAACGAGCCTTGAAGACAGGCGGAGAACCCGGCGGCCGCTTCACCATGAAAATCCACATGCCACTGACGATGTTCGCCCCAGGAGGGGGAACGTCATCAACGTAAGTGCCAGTGGACTTCCAGGATGCCATCTCTGCGTCCATGGCTGCCTGCCACTGAGAGGAGTAGGGACCCGCGATCGCCTCAGCGTAAGATCGCGGGGTAGGGATGTCTATAGCATCCGGGTCTCCCTCAGGGGCAAGCAGCATGGCCACGAGATGAGGCGCAGCGGCTGCAAGACACTCAAGGTCCTTGTGCCTGTCCTCAAGGACGTCCATGCCAAGAGCACACTCACCCCCGACGGACGGAGGACAGACAGACTCAGACTCAGCAACAAAGTCTAGACGACAAGCAGCAGCAAAGTCAACAAGCTCAGCGACCAAGGCAGACGCAGCAGAAGACTCAAACGAGGGGTCAGTGACAACAGTGGCTAGCAGATGCGTGACAGTAGGGTGCTCAGCACGAAACCGGTCAGACTCAGGGTCCGGAACGTGAGGCAAAGACGACGCAGGAGGGGACGGCAGAGGAACAGACTGTGGAACAGAGGAAGGACGACGGACGACAAGGTGCGTGCCGGGGATAGTCGGTGACCCCGAACGCGGAACACGACGAACGGTGTGACCAGAGCGAACTGGCGAGACAGGACGCGACGCAGGCTCACGACGCTCAGTAAGGCCCCCTGACTGCTCAGTGTAAGGAGAAGGAGCAGGAAGCGGTGAGTCAGGCAGGAGGGGAAGACCGGTAGAAGACGGAAGACTAAGAACCTGGTGAAGGACAGAGTCAGGCGGTGGCAGAGACGACGGAGACGGCGGAGCGAAGATCAGGCGAGACTGGGTAGTGTCACCAGCACCAGCAGCTCCAGCACCTACAGCATCTCCCGTACCTCCAGTAGCTCCACCACCCCCAGCGGCAACTCCTCCAGGACAGTCTCCACCAGCAGCAGCGCCTCCAGAACCAGCACCCCCAGTCGCATCGTCCCCAGTAGGAGTACCCTCAGACACAGCACCACCAGCCCCAGCAGCTCGAGTACCAGCGGTACGAGCACCTCCGGGACCAGCGACGTGGGCACCCCCAGGAGACAACAAACCAGCACCTTTCTCAGCTCCAGTGACGTCAGTGGAAGTACCGCCAGGAGCAGAGTCCCGAGCTACAGGAGCGCGACGCTGACGGCGACCGTACCAGTCGCGCAGCTGCTGGGAGGTGAGAGGCACACGCGTACGAAGGCGGCTACTCCAAGGAGACCGCGCAACAGCAGACTCAGAACCCGCAGCGCCAGAACCTCCAGCTCCAGTGGTAGCTCCAGCAGCTCCAGAACCTCCAGCAGCGCTCAGCACCCCCAGGCCCAGCAAACCCAGGCTCAGCAACCCCAGGCTTAGCACCCCCAGACCCAGCACCCCCAGGCTCAGCACCCCCAGCCCCAGTACCCCAAGGCTCAGCACCCCCAGTGTCAGCACCCCCAGTCTCCGCACCCCCAGGCTCAGCACCCCAAGGCTCAGCACCCCCAGGCTCAGCACCCCCAGCAGTACCACCCGCAGCAGCACCTGAGTCACCTGTGACCTCGACAGGCTCAGCGACGGGAGGAGGGTCTACCTGAGAGACACCTGAGGGAGCAGGACCCTGAGGGGGAAGGGGGTCTAGCGGAGGGGGACCTGGAGCGAGGAAAAGCGGCGGGGGAGGGAGGGGGGCAGTGCGATAGGGGAAGAGACGGTAAAAGGGTACCGACTCGTCAAAGGTGACGTCCTGAGAGGCAAAGACACGGCGCGAGGTGGGGTGGTAAAACTGCCAGCCAGGCGCGTCGGGGACAAAGCCAAGGAAGACGCAGGGAACGGCACGGGAGGAGAGCTTGTCCGCGGACGTATCGCGAACAAGGGCTCGGCATCCCCAGACACGGAACACCGACGCATCGCCAACCTCCCCCGTCCAACGCAGTGTGGGCGAGGTCTCCGGAGCAGAGACACGGGGCCAAAGGTTGAGCTGATGCGCAGCGTACCGCACTGCAAACGGCCACAGGAAATGGGGGGCAGCCGCATGGATCATGGAGGTACGAGCGACCTCCATGACTAAACCAATGCGGCGCTCAGCAACCCCATTCTGCTGTGGGGAGTCCAGAAGCGTGAAGGTCTGGCGGATGCCGTGCTCCGCACAGTAGGCAGCCAGGAGGGCGGAGGAAAACTCACCACCCCTGTCAGAGTGCAGACGCAAGACGGGAAAGTCCGACTGGAACCGCTGGCGGAGCTGGAGACGAGCGGCGCGGATCCAAGGGATCAAAACATCAGGGACCTCACCCTTGGTGCGCAAGGGGAAGACCGTGGTGTAGCGCGTGTAGTCGTCGACGACCAGCAGGAAGTACCGCTCGTGGCCCTGTCCCCGGACGCGGGCCGGGCCCCACACGTCCAGGTGAAGAGTCTGCAGGGGAGCCTCTGTGGGAGGGAACGAGGAGGAGTGAGGGGTGGCGCGCTGCCGCCCCTCGACACAAGGAAGACAGGGAGGAGCAGGCGAGGGTGGGAGGGGAGGTAGAACCCTGGGAAGACCAGAGACAAGGTACCGGGAGTGCATGCCACGAAGGCGCTGCACGGAGGGGTGACCAAGGCGGTGGTGCCAGAGGACGGTCTGGTGCGACAGGGAGCGACACGAGCAGGGAGCCGACAGCTGACCTGACGCAGACGCAGACGCAGCTACCTGAGGGGACTCAGTGGTCAGTGTGTACAGGTCGGACCCCGGCTGCCGAGTGAAGGTAGCCAGGTGGCGACCCGTCCGAGCACACGTACAGTGGGTCACCCGCTCATAGGCAGGGGTGAACTGGTGAACACCCCCGTCCTGGAGAGCAGAGCCCGCCACCAAGTTCGTAGAGAACGAGGGGAGGTAGAGACCCGACAGAGTGCCAGACGGGGCCGCAGGACAAGGGAGGACAGTGGAGGAGGTCGCAAGGACCGGGCCCCCAGAGGGGTCAGCAAGGGAGACAGCAACAGGCCGAGCTAGTGGCTCAAGGACAGTGCGGTCACGAAAGAAACAGCGGGAAGCACCTGAGTCCAGTGTGAAAGTGTGCAGTGCCGCAGTAGACCCAGTACCAGCAGACGCAGACGCACGAGCACCTAGCGCAGCAGCCTTACCAGTACCAATACCTGGGTCGGGCGGCACACTCAGGTAACAGTCACCCTCAGCACTAATAGTCAATGCATACATGGCAGCAAGGATAGCATCATAATCAAGAGCAAAGACATCAATCCCCTTCCTAAGCAGATCAGCCCAGCGAGGCAGCTCAGAGGCGTCAGGGAACTGCTCGCGCCAGGCGTCGTCGAGGCGAAAGAAACAGCGCTGCGCCGTGTGGAACCTCCCACAAGTCAAGCCAGCGCGGTCACCTGTGCGGATGACGTACGGGCAGGGACCCCCACCCCCAGACCCCCCACGCTGAGAGTACCACTCACGGAGCTGCTGGGGCGAGGGAGTCTCGCCAGGACGCTGCTGCGGCTGCCTCTGGCCACCGCCGAATCCCCCACGCTGCACCGTTCCACCGCGCCCGCCACCCGCTCCACCGCCAACACCACTGCCACCACCGCCCCCACCTCCCGCAACACCGCCGCCGCCGCCACCACCCCCTGTGCCGCCACTGACCCCCCCACCACCGCGCCACTCCCACTCCCGCCACCACCCCCGCCCCCCCCACCCTCTCCACCGCCGCCGCCCCCGCCTCCACCTCCACCACCCCGGCCCCCCTTGCCCCTGCCGCCCTTGCGCCTCCCACTAGGAGTAGACGCGGCTCCGATTCCCTCAGCTCCGAGGTAGTCGACAGCAGCAGCAGATGCAATGGAGGGGAGGAGGGGGGAGGGGGAGCACCCCTCAAAGAAGGGGGTGCAGGGGTCACCACGAGAGGCACCTACAGCTACAATGCTCTTCTCAGCTGCTAGGAGTTCCTTCTCGAGGAGGTCGACAGTGAGGTCAGTGGGGGAGAGAGCGAGAAACTGGTCCCTGACAGTGCGAAGGGAGTCAGGGAGGCGGGTGACAAGGTGGTACAGTGTGAGGTACATCGGGGGGGGGGGGGGGTTCTTGGCGAGGAAATCGGGGGGGAGCGCGGCACGGTAGCGGAGGTCACTGGTACGGAGGTGGGTGATGAGGTCAGCTACAGTGGCAAAGGCGGACAGGTCGGGAAAGAGGTAGGGCAGTGAGAGACGGCCTATAGCAGCAGTGGCAGGGGAGGAGTAGCGCGCGACTACGGCGTCGTACAGCTCTTTAGCGGTCTTATGCTGGCCGAAGTGCTCGCGCTCATCTAACGGCAGGTGGCTGCGAACGGCTAGGCGAGCGTGAGCATCACGGGTCTGCCACTGGGAGCGAGCAGTACTGTCAGCAGTTGCGGGAGGTGCGGGGGCGGCGCCTGACGTGTGGTCATACAGGGAGACATCGTCCTTAGCAGTGATCTGGAGGAACAGGTGGAGGTCATCTAACCAAACCCCAAACTTAATCGGGCGGCCCTCAGCGTCAAAGGTGAGAATAGAGGGGGTGGCCATAGTTGCAGTAGCAGCAGTAAGAACAGTAGCAGCAGTAGCAGTAGTAGTAGCTTACTGGTGCAGTTGAAGCAGCAGGACGGCAGGAGTTGCTGCAGGTGGGGCACAGTAGGGCGGCGCTACTCGGCTAGGGCGGCGCGGCTCGGTTCGGGCGGCGCGGTTCGGTTCGGGCGGCGCGGCTCGGCTCGGGCTGGGCTACGCTACGGTGCGCGACGGGGGGGGGGGCGCGTGGGCAGCTGTAGCGGGCGGGCCGTGGCCGTGCGCGGGCCTGTCTAGCGCGCGGGTGGCTGCGTAGCGGGGCGTCGCGGCGGCCTAGGGGTGGGGCTGCGACACCCTGGGGGGGCGGTCGACGGGCGGCTAGGGGCCGTCGCGCGCTCAGAAAAAAGGGCCGCGCGCGGGCCGCTAGTGGGTGACGCGCGCGAAAAAAAAAAGGCCGCGCGCGGCACTAGCGAGCTGCGCGCGGGCAGGAGGAGGAAGAGAGGCGCACGAGGGCGCACTAAGAGAGGCGCTCGAGGGCGCTTATAGCGGTGGGCCCTTAGGTAAGTGGTCCTAGGACTAGGACCTAAGCTCTGATACCATGTAAGAATCACGAAGTGTTTGAAGTATGAGAAGATGGCAGTACAAGTATGAACCCTAGAATTGTGTACCCCCTAAAGGCTAACCCACTGTAGCCTACACAGCAATAACACATGTACAATGTTTGACATTGTGAACCACCTTGCGCTAGTGTGTGAGGGCAAAGTAAGTTGATTAAAGCAAAGAGATACAAGATTATATATAGGGGTAGAAGGAGTATGAAGAGATAAAGTTATAACTACTTTACTGTTGCTGTTGCGGTTCGATACAGTGACGACTCGGGCAACTGCTCTGTAACGAGTCAGTTGTGTGTCCTTGCTGTCGCGCTGTACTTGTCAGGTCAAAGGTCGCTGACCTTTGACTTTCGCGTAACCTCCAACAGTTACTTCAACCTCCGAGGGTTGACTCGCTGGTGCTTCGATATACTTCGCTTCGCTTTTGACTTGGTGTTTTGACACGATAGAAGCGAATTAAATTAATTGTTTCCAACACTCCCCTTCGCTTCTGGAGTGTCGCAGCTGATGACGTGGCTCTGTCCAGTCAGCAGCATGCAGTACTCGAACTTCTGTTTTCCGAGCTTCTTGGTCAAGTAGTCGGCTGCCATCTCGGATGTGGGGCAGTATGACAGCTCAAGCCTCCCCTTTTCGATCTCGTCCTTCACGAAGAAGTATCGCAGGGCGATATGTTTCGTCCTGTTCGCAAAGCCGTTCTTGTTGGCGATGCGAATCGCTGACTGGTTGTCGCAGAACAGGGTGAAGCTTGGTAACTGGGCCAATTTTGCTTCTTCCAGCAGTTCGCGAAGGTAGAGTCCTTCCTTGGTGGCTGAGCAGAGTGCGATGTATTCTGCTTCTGCTGAAGAGAGGGCGATTAATTCCTGCTTGCTCGACTGCCAGGAGATAGGACCGATAGGCTCGAGGCGGTAGATGTAGCCGGTGCGCGAGCGCCTGTTGTCAGAATCGCCGGCGTGATCGGCGTCGACGTAGCCGATTAGCCTAGGTGTTGTATTCGCGTTTTTATGGTAGGTGAGACCGATTGTTGGAGTGCTTACGAGATAGTTGAGGGCGCGGTCGAGCTCCGCCATGTGTTTTGCTTCAGGCCTCTTGAGATGGGTGGCGAGTTGGCTTGCGGAATACGATAGGTCCGGTCGGCAGGTGACAGCTGCGAAGAGGAGGCATCCCAGCTTCCTCTGGTAGTCGCGTATGCCGGCGGGCTTTAGTAGAGCGGAGCCTTCCTTGTTGTTTCCTGTCGTGTAGCGGTACGGCGTGGAGATGGCGGTCGGTGTGAGTGCGAAACGTTTGGCGATGGTGTCGGCGTATTTCGCAGCGCTGAGGTAGATCGCGTTCTCCTCTTCCCCGATGTTGAGGCCGAGGTACTGTGTGACGGTAGATGAAACAGTGAGAGTGAGGTCCTTCTGCGGCTCCCCTTCGAACCAGGTCGTGACACCGTCGGTCGAGCCGATGTAAAGCAGATCGTCTACATAGACGATTAACAGAATGTAGTCGTCGCCTTTCGTGAGCCGGTACATACCCTGATCGTGCGGTAGCTGCTTGAAGCCGATGCGAATGAGGCGAGCGTGCAGGTACTGTTGCCATAGCCGTGGGGCTTGTTTGATGCCGTAGAGCGATTTGAGCAGCTGGCAGACGTGGTTAGGTTCTCCGTTGGAGCCGTGCGGTAGCTCGACGAAGATTTCTGCGTCGACGGGTGCGTATAGAAATGCATTGGCGACGTCAATTTGTCGTAGCTTTTTCTTCTTCATGGCGGCGATCGCGAGAAGGATTCGTAGCGAAGTGTGTCGACTGACCGGAGCAAATGTTTCGGTGAAGTCGCGTCCGTGCTCTTGGTCGAAGCCGCGTACGACCCAGCGCGCCTTGAATTTGTCAATGGTGCCGTCAGCCTTCGTCTTCACACGGAAGACCCATTTCCCGGTTTGTATTGTCTTGTTTTGTGCCACGCCAATGGGAACAACTTTCCAGGTATTGCGTTCCTCCAACGCTTTTAGTTCTCTGTCCATGGCTTCGCGCCATTTTTCCCTATGCTCCCCCCCAGAGTCTGCTGAACTGTGGCAGGCTCCTTAGGAATCGCCGTGCCGTGAACCGCGGTGACGAGGCCGAGAATCTGGAGTCCACTCTGTGTGTAGCGGGGGAGTGTTGTATCCTCAGGCAGGCAGCGCGATCTCGCCTCAGCAGCGCCAGACGCCTTAGGCAGCGCGAAATCGCCCCTTAGCAGCGCCAGACGCCACCAGGCAGCGCGATCTCGCCTCAGCAGCGCCAGACGCCTTAGGCAGCGCGAAATCGCCCCTTAGCAGCGCCTCGACGCCACCAGGCAGCGCGATCTCGCCTCAGCAGCGCCAGACGCCTTAGGCAGCGCGAAATCGCCCCTTAGCAGCGCCTCGACGCCACCAGGCAGCGCGATCTCGCCTCAGCAGCGCCAGACGCCTTAGGCAGCGCGAAATCGCCCCTTAGCAGCGCCAGATGCCACCAGGCAGCGCGATCTCGCCTCAGCAGCGCCAGACGCCTTAGGCAGCGCGAAATCGCCCCTTAGCAGCGCCAGACGCCACCAGGCAGCGCGATCTCGCCTCAGCAGCGCCAGACGCCTTAGGCAGCGCGAAATCGCCCCTTAGCAGCGCCTCGACGCCACCAGGCAGCGCGATCTCGCCTCAGCAGCGCCAGACGCCTTAGGCATCGCAAAATCGCCCCTTAGCAGCGCCTCGACGCCACCAGGCAGCGCGATCTCGCCTCAGCAGGGCGGAATCGCCGCAGAAACCACCAGGTACCACCTGAAACGCTATCATGGAAGACGACCCAGGCCCCGGGGACCCCGGGGTCTGGGCGGGAGACGGCGCAAACAACGGCACGACGGAGGCCATCGGGGGCAAAGGGGGGACAAGCACGGCGGCAGTCACGGGGTCGCTCTGCCTAGGGGCTGGCCACAAAAGACGGGGGGGGCCTGAGGGTGCGCTCCAGAGCCCACGCATCTGTCGCCTCCGCCACGAAGACATTCTGTGCCTCTTCGGCAAACCACCCAAGAGGCGGTGTTTTGAAGCGAACCGCCCGATTTCAGCAATTACAGGTGGACAATCCCCCAAGAACCCCCCCAGCAACCGGGCTGGCCAGAGCGGCGTCTCAGAGCCTTCGGCCGTCAACGAAGAGGGGGGAGAAGCAATGGGCGACAAGAGTCTGGCCGCCGATGTGGCATTGGAGGCTGCGAGGGCAGCTTGGGAAGAGCATCGTAGGCGCTTGCAACAACAGCACAACACTCGCAGGAGTGGCCTACCTGAGAGCGTAACGCGGCACAGTGCCTGCTCGACCGACGTCGACTCTCCCCTAGTCGTGCCACGTCTCGCACGGCGGCAGGAATGGCGGCGTCGGAGGGCGGCAGGAAGAGACAGGCAACGGGAGCCGCCGGTGGGGGGCCGGTGGGACCTGCAGGCGGGCGGACAGCAGGGGAGCCGGGAAAGAGGCCGACAGCCGCCGGAGGGGACGAGGCAGCAGCGGCTGCAGAGCGGAGGGCAGCATGAGCTGCAGGGCGGAGGGCAGCAGCAGCTGCAGAGCGGAGGGCAGCAGCAGCTGCAGAGTGGGGGGCAGCAGCAACTGCAGAGCGGAGGGCAGCAGCAGCTGCAGAGTGGGGGGCAGCAGCAGCTGCAGAGCGGAGGGCAGCAGCAACTGCTGCAGAGCGGAGGGCAGCATGAGCTGCAGGGCGGAGGGCAGCAGCAGCTGCAGAGCGGAGGGCAGCATCAACTGCAGAGCGGAGGGCAGCAGCAGCTGCAGAGCGGAGGGCAGCAGCAGCTGCAGAGCGGAGGGCAGCAGCAGCTGCAGAGTGGGGGGCAGCAGCAACTGCTGCGGAGCGGAGGGCAGCATGAGCTGCAGGGCGGAGGGCAGCAGCAGCTGCAGAGCGGAGGGCAGCAGGAGCTGCAGAGCGGAGGGCAGCGGCAGCTGCAGAGCGGAGGGCAGCAGCAACTGCTGCAGAGCGGAGGGCAGCATGAGCTGCAGGGCGGAGGGCAGCAGCAGCTGCAGTGCGGAGGGCAGCAGCAGCTGCAGAGTGGAGGGCAGCAGCAGCTGCAGAGCGGAGGGCAGCAGCAACTGCTGCAGAGCGGAGGGCAGCATGAGCTGCAGGGCGGAGGGCAGCAGCAGCTGCAGAGCAGAGGGCAGCAGCAGCTGCAGAGCGGAGGGCAGCAGCAGCTGCAGGGCGGAGGGCAGCAGCAGCTGCGGAGTGGAGGGCAGCGTCAGCTGCAAAGCAGAGCACAGCAGGAGCTGCAGAGGGGAGGGCAGCATGAGCTGCGGAGTGGAGAGCAGCAGGAGCTGCAGAGTGGAGAGCAGCAGGAGCTGCAGAGTGGAGAGCAGCAGGAGCTGCAGAGTGGAGAGCAGCAGGAGCTGCAGAGTGGAGGGCATCAGGAGGAGCAGAGTGGGGGGCAGCAAGAGACATGGTGG